GGACGTTATCCTATTATTTTTCATCGTGAGTTTGCATTTAAGTATTTAAAGCGATAGAGATGTGTGTCAATATATAGATAACTCAAATTAATTTATGAATTAAACCTTTTCCTGAACTTATTCTTCAAGAAGGAGCTGTGTTTTGTTGTGCCTGCTCTAATCCGATAAGTATTTTTACATCTGTGGACGCAGTACGCAGTTTTTCTATTTACAAATACATACTTTAGAATCACCGGAAAAATTTTTGTTAGAATATTTCGAAAAATATTAAAAAATAAATTGTTACCAAAATAGTAATTAAATAGTCGATTACTAGTATTTTTTAATTCGTTCTGTTTACCTATATTTATTTTTTAGTATAACAATATTATCTTATAAAATGTCATTTATTTGTCAGTGAGATCTAATTAAACACTTTGCAATGTGATTTATGTATTTTTTGTAATAAAAGGTAAGGTGTTTTTGCAATTTGTAAATAAATTTAGTTCGGTTATTACCCTTTTTTTATTTTTGGAGCATATGCAACTGCATATCTCTGCATATATTAAGAAAGTTATTGCATATTTGCATAAATTTGATGCATGTCATATGATCATATTTCCCAAAATTTTTGCTGCATATTTTCCGCTCTCTAATCATCAGTCTGCACTTCCAAAAATATTTCTTCTTCTCTATAGTCCTACACATGTAGTTTATGACGCCGTGTTGAGTTTTTACCCGAAACGTCCAGATTTTTGGAAAAAATTCGAAATTATTATTACAACATTTTGCAATTTAATTTTGAATCTTTAAAACTGTTTTAAAGTTATAATCATGGTAAAGTTTTGATCAAAATGTATTTGCTCATCCCCCCTAAAAAACTGATGACGTCACCTCAAAATATTGCTGAATAAATCCTATCTAAAATGTGCCTAATATGATCAGTCTGTAATTGTAATTTATCATTGTATTAATATTTTTTAGATTTCCTTATACAGGTGACCCAAAAAATGAATCGGTCAATTTTTTTATTGAATAAATCAAGAATTGCAAAAATGAATACCTTGAAATCTTGCAGACCTGTTGAAGTTATTGTAAGCATGGTTAATTGTTGATCAAAATATATCTGTTTATTCCCCCAAAAAATTAATGACGTCATCTCAAAATTTTGCCGAATAAATTCTACCCAAAATATGATTTATAATTGCATTCATATTTTTTAGATTTCCTTAAACAGGTGGCTCAAAAAATTAAGGAATGAGTCAATGAGTCTCCATTTTCGCATAAAATTTTGGGAGTACAATACTGTTATTTTTCAATTTCCATTTTACACTGAATAAAATAAGTCAGTGAAATGGAGAAGGGCGTGGGCGGGGCTAAATTTAGCTTTTTGCTAGTTTTATCAGCAAGTAGTAGCCCCGCCCACCCACCCGTTCTTCGTTCCGGTGACTACTCTTAATATTGTTCAGTCTTATCTTAGCAAGTTTTCTTAGAGGGTATGTCGTTTGCCACAATCAGTCTTATTTTAGCAAATACTAGCCCCTCCCACACTGGCTGTTGAAATCCACCTTTCATTCGGACTAGACAAAAGGAATCACTGAAATGGAGGCGGGGCGAATTCTATGTTTTTTTGTAAAGTGAGCATGGGAGCTAATAAAACGTAGGGTATTCAAAAAAAGCGTTAATCGTAATATTTTTGTTATACTTCTTTGCTATAATATTTATTTCTTATTTCTAAAGAAAAAAAAATAGAGAACGGGTGGGTGGGTGGGGCTAAGCTCAACTTTTTCCAACAGAATCTTTCATAAACAAGTGATAGCCCCGCCCACCCACCCGCTATTCATTCCAGTGATTACTCTTAATATTGTTCAGTCATTTACCAAACAAGTAACTGCACCAATCTAAGTTCAGATACGTGTCCTTGCAAAAATGTTGATGAGGTCATCACAAAATTATGTAAAGTAAAAACTCAACGCGAAAATGCTGGATATATTTCATTGTACTTTCGCTGCGAACTAACTGTTAACCAATTTTTTTTTTTAATACCATTCTTCCGTTTTAAATTAGACTTGTTTGCAGCTTTGTTGTTCTCTTATTAGTCTTTAATTCAAAAAAATATATTCCATTTGCCAAATTCTATTGGCGCCAAATTTGAAATAAAAATGTTTGTTGCTATTTTAATAAACAGCCTCGAATATGTATGTTTCACAACAAGCAAAAAGTAATTCAGAGTGTTCATGAATTTTCATATGATATGAAATGCGCCTGCGTCGTTCACCCTGAAACGGAACTGTTATAATACACTGCGTTTCAAATAAAATGCACCACCTAGAAGGAGTAGGCGTAGAATGTTGAAATTTGGTGGAGAAGACTATTGCACGTAGACAAACATTTGATTAAAATTTCAAAGAAAAAATAAAATGTCTAACACAAGAAATGTTAATAATGTGTTAAAATTCCACGTGCACGAATACAAGACTGTATTCTTCTAGGCATGCTTAAAATGAGATGATCTATTGCCTGCTGGGGTATCTCATTCCAGGCATTTTGAATTTGTTGTAGACATTCTTCCAAAGTCTTTGGAGGATGTGGTAAATTGCGCAGCCTTCTATGCATTAAATCCTAAACATTTTCGATTGTTGATAAATCTGGTGATAGGGCAGGCCAGGGTAAGAAGTTGACGTTATTTTCGTCAAACACTCTTTAAGTTAATATGGCCACATGAGGCCACGCATTATCTTGTTCAAAAGATGTTCTTCGACGGTTCGAGAGATAAGGAAAAAGAAATTGATTTAACACGTTAACGATGTAATGCCGGGCATTTAGCGTGCCTGGAATGAACACTAAGGGAGTACTTCAACAGATGTGTATACCATCCCATATCATTACTCCAGGTGTTAGAGCGATATGACATCTCTGTACAAATTCCAGATTTTACCTTTGGCCTCAAGGCCTTCGAACACGTATGCGTCCATCAGAGTGCCACAAACAAGACCTAGACTTGTTCCTAAACATTATGACATTCCACTATTACAGCCATTGCTGCCTGTCTTGGTACCAGTGAAGCCTGGTAGTTTTGTGTTCTTGTGGTAAGGGAAGTTTGCAGTTTGGACGATAAGATCTCAAGCCAAAGGAACGAATTTGGCGGTAGATGGTACTCCTCGGATTCTGTGCCCAATTGCTGTCATCCAGTCCATCCCGACTGATCGTTATGGTTACCAAGGGTACTGAATAACACTTCTTCTTAGCAAATGATCTTCGCGTTCTTGGGTGACTCTGAAACGGTCGGTACCCCTGCGACGCATTTGTAGCTCTTCGTTGTTCCATTCTCGACTTGTTCTTAATATCGCAGAATCCGTTGGGCCGAGTCTTCTGGTGATTTCCCGAAATGGTAAACTAGCCTCATGCATCCCAATCATTCGCCCTCTTTCAATAGGTGTTATCTGTTGAAAATTACCTCGTGTGTGAACTCGTAGCATTTTTGCAAGCACAATAATGACAAATGTCAAGTAAAATTGCAAAAGAATCTTACTCAAGTATCTTTAAAACATAATCAAAAAATTAATAAAAATCGAATAACACTCGGTATATTATCTAAACAAGTAGTAGTTTTTCTTTCAAATTTTAATCAATTGTTTGTTTATATGCAACAGTCTTCTCCACCAAATTTCTACATTCTACGCCTACTCCTTCTAGGTGGTGCATTTTATATGAAACGCAGTGTATATCAATATTTTCACTCTCTGATTTTCACCATGTTTTCACAAGGAAGACAACGGCAAGTTTGGGATAACGATGAATCTTCTATCTACAGTTACCACTTTTCAATTTTATGTGTAGCATATTACTATATTCAGTAACAAATAATTACCTCAATATGTTCTGGTCCTTCAAGCTCAGATCAGTGTCACCATGGTGAAGATGTGTATTGATCTACTCTGCGAAGTTACCTCCAATGACAGATATGGAGTCCAAAAATTACGGAAAATTGGAGTCCTAGGGTCAGTTCCATTCCTCCTTCCTCCATACGAACTCTGATCATTGTTATTTTGTATTTAATTGATATTAAGTAATCATGGAAGGGGAAAATACGGTTTGTCAGATCAAAGTCTAATCAGTTCAAATTGCCGAATAAAACTACCTACTAATAGAAATATTATCAAGGGATAGATTTGAATTAAGTACTGAAATTGACAGAACTGTCTAGTTCAAAAACCAAGGCCATAAATGAACAACTAAAGTCTAATCATAATCAATTCAAATTGCCTGAATAAAACTACCTATTAATAGACGACATATTATCAAGGGGTAAATTAACATCATTGATTCTTCTATAGAATAATTCATAAACTGATTAGGAAAATTTATCACAAATAACATTAACAATGATTGAAACTCGTCTGAACTCCTTTATTCCCACTATCCAACGATCCAAAACAATCTTGAACCCAGGACATTTTTTGACTGGGAAAGGTTCAAAATACACCACCTGGAGCAAACGATACCAGCTAATACGTTGTCATGATATCGGTTGACTGAACAACTCAGATAGTTTCTGGAAACGATGGTCAATGAAGTGCTACATATGTACCTACAGTGGTCCATGGGCAAACTATGTGACTTATATCCGTGAAGTATGGACACTACGTTGGACACCACAAATAAATGTTAACGTTTTGTATTTATAATGTAATGCATGCATTTTTGCTATCTTACTACCAATTTACATGTATCGTATTTTATGTTATTCTGTATCCTTTACAGTTTGTAAAATATATGTTTTCACATTTTGAATTGTATTGTCTCTAATTTAATTTATTGTGTATTTTCACCACGTCAAACAGTCATAAAAATTTCTCTGATCAATCCGTCAAAAAATTTGATGACGTCATCTCAACATGTAGTTTTCGCATATTCAGTTCATTAATAATTTCATGTATATTGGGTTATCTACCTAAAGTAATATCTAAATATAAAAGCGCTCTTAGCTATTTAACATTAATGATATTTTAATGCATTTTGTTGTTAATTAATAATGTTAATGCGCTCAAAGTGGATATGTTCCATATGTTACTCGCGGAAGTTCCAGAGGGGTACGTAAGCATTAGTTTTCTTACTAAAGACGTATTATTTTACTTTGTAGTGTCTCGTTAAGTAATATTCTGACAGATTGCTTTCAGATTCGCGATCTACATTGAATAACTCTGTGGTGATTATTTGACAGTTGATAAGAAAGCGACAGTTCAATGACGTTTGGTGACAGTGGTGGTAGTTTAGAGTATAGGTCAAAGATGAATCAGTGAACTCTATTTTATATATTTTTACACTAAATAAATTTCTTTCAATGTATATAGTCATATAGGTCATAGTGAAACCCACAACAAAGAAATATGGTGAGTGTTTTTCCAGTTAAAAACGAAAACAATACATTTCTGTGTAGGTCTTCCTAAAATATACCCCTTTGCAAAGCCAATCAAGAGCAATTTTGAAACTTGTTGACAAAAATTTAGTCAGTAAAGACTATGTGGAATATCAGTTCATACAACAAAGTCAAATTCCAACCTCACATTTTCAACCCGGATTGCCCAGATTACCAATTCCTGAGTTAAAATTGACGTGCGAGCGATATTTAGCCGCACAGAGACCGTTATTAATCGATGAATCGTACACGAAAACTGAGACGAACGTAAACCGATTTAGAGATGGGGTTGGAAAGCAGTTACAACGAATTCTTAAAGACTACGATGGGAAAAATAAACACACAAGCTACATCAGTGAATTATGGTTTGATAAGTATTTGAGATCAAGGACTCCACTACCGCTTAACTGTAACCCAATATTGGTTTTTAATAACGACGATAAACCAGAGTATAATGACCAACTGATTAGGACAACGAACTTAATTGTTAGTTCTTTAAGATTTTATAGAACGTTAAAATCGGAGTTGCTTCAACCCGACATTTACCATTTGCAACCAGCGAAAAGCGACAACGAACGTTTCAACTACATTGCAAGCAAACTACCACCGAAATTAGCATATATTTATGCTTATTTTAACAAAGCATTTCCTCTAGATATGAGCCAATATCCAAACTTGTTCCAGACCACTCGTATTCCCGAAATCGACAAAGACAGACTTGTCGATAATCCAGAATCTAAGCATATTACCGTTCAGTACAAAGGTCATTTCTACGCTTTTAAAGTATTAACAGTTAGCAATGACATCATTCCTGCCAGTCAAATTTTAGACAATTTGAAATTTATTTTGAATGATACAATAGAACCAAGTAAACATCCGGTAGGGATTCTTACAACCCTTGAACGCAACAAATGGGCCACAATTCGACACGAGTTAGCAGAAAATGGAAACGAAACTCAATTAAAAACAATTGATTCAGCTTTGTTCCATATTTCTCTTGACGACGATATGCCCGGAAATGATCCATGTAAAATCACAACGCAATTTCTCCATGGGGACGGAACCAACAGGTTTGTTTACCCCACCGTTTAAAATCTTGCTAAGATCAAGTTATAGGTGGTTTGACAAATCGTTTTCCCTAATAGTGGCCAAAGATGGCGTTACTGCTGTCAATTTCGAACACGCGTGGGGAGATGGCGTTGCAGTCTTACGTTACACAGAAGAAGTTTTCAAGGATTCGAAAAACAAACCAAGGATTCATCCGGATACGAAAACGACAGAAGAAAGTTCTTTGTCTGTGAATCGTTTAGGTTTGTTTAATTCATTTAGATATTTTTGTAAAGGAAGTGAGGTTATGTCACGTGATTTAATTTCAGATATTCATTTAAACGATCATTTAAAAAGTTGTATTGATCAAGCCAAGGTCGAATATAAAGCTATTTGTGATAATTTAGATGTGAATTATACGATTTTCGAAGGCATTGGGAAAGATACGTGCAAGAAAAATAAAGTTAGTCCTGATGCTGTAATGCAGTTGGGATTTCAGGTATGTAGTAAAAAATTGAGTAACGTGGAACGCATTTTCTTGTCCTAACATCATATAAACCGTTTTTGAATTATAAAATAGAAAATCGCTCTTAGGTTGGATACCATAAACTGACAGGCAATTTCGTATCTACGTACGAATCCTGCAGTACCGCTGCCTTTAAACATGGTAGAACCGAGGCAATTCGTCCATGTACTACCGCTACAAAGGTAAACAGGTGATCTTCGTGTCCCATACTTCTATAGACCGATTATAGGCCTTCACTCTAGCCCTCAATTCACAAAATAAGCCTTCAGTGCCTGAGTTAAAATCAATGATCCAAAAGTGTTCCTCAATCCACAATCGTCTGATTAAAGAAGCGGCGATGGGACAAGGTTTTGATCGCCATCTTTTCGCCCTTAAAGCAATGGGGGAAAAGAATGGAATCAAAAACAACATTTTTGACGATCCTGAGTATGCGCACATTGGCTACGACGTCATGTCCACGAGTACCTTAAACTCTCCGGCTATATTTTCGGGGGGTTTCGGGCCGGTGGTACCAGATGGATTCGGCATGGGGTAAGTAAGGACCGAGTTTTTAATTTCAGAAAGCAAGACGAACTGTTCAAGGTATGCGATTAAGGACGAGTTTCTGGGAGCTCTAGTTACGAATTACAAGGACCGTACTAATGGACCAGACTTTATTGGTGCTTTGAAGAAGTCTTTCGAGGAGATTTTCGCTATTTTACAAGCCAACTAAATTTGATAAGCAATTGTATTCATTTTGTTATTTGGTTTGGTGGTTTTTATTCAGTTATGGTTTAGATCGTTTAAATTTCAAAAGTGATGACGTGACAGAGGTATAGTTTTGTACTATTTTATAAATCAATAAAATATTTAGGTACTTGTACGTTTTCGTTTAATATGTTCACCTTGCCATTAATCGAATGACCCGCCAAAAGTTGTGTAGAATTGGCACTACGTATCATAGATGAGGAAGGTGCACATTTCCTCGAACGTGAGCAACGCACTCCCAATCACCCTCTTTAAATGACGTTTTACTGATTTAATATTACCTTCCCAAATTCCTCCGAAATTCGGTGATTTGGGAGGTATAAAAAACCATTTTATTTGATCTTGCAAACCCTTTCGTACACTATTTTTAAACTCGTCGCTGGTGATGAAATTAGTTGGTTCATTTCTTCCGCCTACAAAATTTGTTGCATTATCGGAGCACAGTGTACCATACAGTAGAGACAGCTCGTCAAATATTGGAACAACGTGTCCTTGCCCAACCGTTTTGATTAGGCGGGATTTTTGAAACGAAGTGGAATATTGGTTGCCTAAATTACAAATACAGCTCGTCCGTAAAACAATTTTTGGAGTGTGGTATGAAGACTACGGAAAAATACCATTTTGAACAATAAAAAAGAATTGTGCTTATATTTATTTTATTCATTAATAAAAGTCTATCACTTTACCAAGTTAATTTCAACATAAACATAACCACTTAACCACTACCTATTTTGTCAATGCCTTCAATTTTCGCCAAGTGTGAACCGTTTGAAGAGTCAGAAAGTGAACGCTGTTGTTTTCATCTTCCCTGGGAAAAGTACTTTGATGTTTTTGGTTGAATTTTTGTTGTTAGTTAAATTAGTGAAGTGATTCTGAGAACATTTTCATAGTAACATGGACTACAATCGTAGACCACTTCGTGATTGCAGGCACAATGAAAAAACCTGCTTCAGGGGCTTCTTTAAATTTCCCTCAGAATCTGTAAGATAAGAAATATAAAGAAGTATATTATTCTATAATCAATAAACAAATATTTGGTATGCAACTTTTACAGCACTGTGAAAATTCCAATAGTTGTAATGATTTAGGATCTATTTTACTAGCAATTGAATCTAAAGAAAGTAACCAGTGTCAAATTATTAATAATAATCGCGATCGGGAATGTTTAACATAATTTGGCGGTACATTTTGGTAATGTCCGCATTAATCACGAATTGGTAGGTTCTAAAACGTAAAGTGATTCCAAAAATGTCGTCCTGTATGGTGGGACCTGGCAATAAGTTTTCATTGAGGCTCAAACCGTTGTCTGATTTCATGCTTGCATCAAACACTACACGAATTTTATTGCCCTTGAATACTGCATGATGAGGAATGTAATAAGTATTGGGATTATCTGCCTGATTTTCCGCAACTGGTTTCATATGACCTAATGCATAATATTCGCGCATGAAATCTACATATTGTGACCGCAGTTCAACGTTTTTTTCTAATTTCCGTTCCAGCGACATAAACCGTTTACGTGCTAATTCATAAGAAGCCCCTAATATAATATGATTGTTTTTGTCGGAAGGGAAACCCAAAATCTGCCGCTTTCATCTCTTTTACTATATCCAGACAGCGTTGCGAGGAAATGCCTCGGTGATGTAATCAATCTTTAACGTTGGAAGGAAATGCCTCGGTGATGTGATGTTGATAACGACGATTATAACGATGATAATTGCCCATGGGAAGAAATTATTTTAACCCCCCTCCAGTTCACGATATTATGAATTTTGTTAATTTAACTGCCGTAAATGCACTACTAGTAATCTTGTGTGAAAAATTAAGGAGTGTTATAATGTAACACTTAAATATATACATGCAGAAACCTCAATTATAACTTTGTAAACAAAGAGTGTTATCCTGACCAAGTGAATTTCATGAAATCTCCTAGTAAATGTCTGTTAAATTGTGTTAGCATCAGTTAACGATTAAAATCCTAACATGAACTGTGAATTTACAAACAATGAATCAAATTTACATGGGTTGGTGTCGGTCGAAAAATCGCGTCGTTACGATTAATTGTCCTTAAACAAAGGCTTCCTGCCCTTTATTAATTACCCATGAGTTATTTCGTCCTTGTGTCTATTTATTCCAAGAACAGCTTTTAGGATGTGGAACAACTTTTAAAGAATTACGACACATTCAAAAATACGTTTGCTACAGAAATCGGTAAAATCAGTTCTTCTCTTTCCTGTATGTATACTCAAGCTACAAAAATCAAGCAACAAAAAGAAATTTTACAAGAAACCATCGAAAATTTGGGTGAAACTATTACAACGGTCGAAAAAAAATTGGAAATGCTTGATAAAGAAATGGAGATGGTAATTGCATTTTCTGTATGTAAATATTTTCTGAATTCGCGTTTCTTAGTTGAGTAAACACAGAGAAGACAGTCGAAATAACTTTTTACGAAAAATTGCAAGTTTGAAGGAAACTGAAACATCCCTGGAGAAGAATAAGCAGGAACTGACAGAGCTGACGGAAATGTATGTGGTATGTAGTTACAGTGGGAATAATGTTAAACCTTAACTTACAGACACAACAAAAAATCAAACGATCTGGAGACAAAAAAACAAAAAGCGTTAGAATTTTTTAGGAATTTGCACGACATTATAGTGGGCAATTTGCAGGAAATGAATGTAAGCTTGTTATATTTTGTCCTGAACGCAAAAACACTTTCTGTTTTTAGAAAATTCGTACTGAAATTTTTGAAATGTTAAAAGACTGTTTAACGAAGGTGGCAGAAACAGAGGGAGCCATTTTAGAGGACCTCCATAACTTAGATTAATTAAATAAGTAAAATAGAATTGTTTTCTTTTAGTCTTTTGGGTATTAAAAACATTGTTAATTCGAATACGATTTTGATACACAACTGTTCCTTGAAAAAAAAAACATAGTAGGCTGTTTTTTATTTTGACAGTTAACATTAAAAAACGCCAGAACCCAATTTTTTCAGTAACACTTTTATAGTAGAAACAAACCACCACAACTCAATTTGACAATTGTCAAATTGTTAAAAATGCCCAATCAAACCCAGTATAAACCAATCTAAGTTTGCTTGGACCAGATTGGGTTTGATTGGGTTAATTGGGACACATTTGAACTTATATTGGATTTGATTGGGGAAACACAATTAAGGGCTTTGATTGGATTTAATTGTATTTGATTGTGAAAAGTTGGAAATAATGATTATATTACCAATAAAAACATCGAAAAGGCAAAATATAATAAATAGATACCAATACTCAAACTGAAAGCTGTGACTAGACATGAAGGTGTATGTTGTCGTTTTCTACGTCAAGGGGAGTAGTATAATGCTATCCTTGTGTGATCACCACATCTTCATCTTTGTTATATGCATTTCATCTGTATATATCTATTTCACTTCCATCCTTGTACCGCACCAGCGCAACAAATTGCTTTTGACAGATGTTTCTTCTATCCTCTCTTTGGAGTTCTTATACGAGAAACAATTTTAGAATTTAGAACAAAGATCCTATTTCAAGTGATGTAATCATAACGGATCACAATTGCTGCCCAATAATTTACTATTCCTTTCGTTATCTACTGTGAATTATTTAAAAAATCAAGCTGTCAACATCTTTCGTACAAAGTTAGTTCAGACATACTTCCTAAAATTTAGGCGCGCAAAATTCAAATAGTGATCAGGCAAAGATAGCTTCATTGTAATCCCTCCATGCACAAGAGAGACGTGTGACAGGAGGATGTCGTCACAGGCTCTCCTAGGGAAAGAACACGGCGTGTTGGTATCTATTTATTATATGATCTGAAAGGCTACAACGTGTTAATGAAACAATTTATATTTAACTCATTTTATTTTCTTATCTTGTAAGCGATTTGGGTGAAATATATATAAAGAAAAATACGTGAATAGTCTTTTTCATTACTTTTAATTACATTTCAAGTATAAGAACATGACATCTAAGACTCTAGTCATCTATAATACTAACATAATATGATAAACAAAATTGATCTACGCATATCTACTACAACGACAAGTATTAACATCCAAACTATGTCTAGTTTGTGATTCAACTAAGTTATAGTTTGTGTTAAGATAACGCTTTACGTGTTGTATTTGGCAAAAAGAGGCAAAGTAAACCTCCACCTATCAATAATGCTGCTACGATGAATGTTGGTGCCGGACAATATGTGTCTAGTAAGTTAGCGATAACTAAATTACCAATAATACCACCAAGACGGGCTGCTACCATGGAAACAGCCACCCCAGTTGCCCTGAGATTCGTTGGGAAAATTTCAGTTATTAAACAATCCAAAGCTGCATTTCCGCACGAGATCACGCTACTAAACACAGCAGACACTATCAAGTTATGCAGTTTGTTGTAAACGAAATACATGGAAGCTGCACACAGGCCAGACGTCACGGTACTGAAGACTGAAAAAGAGTGTCAAAAAAGCCGAAACGGGTGTCGTGGGATTTACCTAAGAAAAATTTTCGGCCGAGAAGGTCCATGAAGAGGACTGCGATGATGTTACTGGGAAGAGCCGAAGCGACCGTGATCAGAGATTCTAAAAAGACTGCGCTTGGAATAGTGGCGCTGCATGATGATCCGTTTTGGCTTCCATGTTCCGTTACGAAGTTCGTTACCACACAGACACCAGCAGTTTGGTTTGGGTATACTCTTGAGTATTCGTCAAAACGGTTGAAGAGTTCGGGGAACCACATCATTAAACCGTAATATCTGTCAATTCAAGTTATATAACTAACATGTAGTGGTTTCAAAGATCGCCAACTTACCCAATGTGGAAAGTAAAATTGATGGTGATGGAAATGAGCGTGAACTTAAGAATAGGACTAACGAAAAGCTGCTTGCTATTATCTATGATGTCGATGAACATATTCTTGTATTTTCCTTTGATGGGTGTTTTGGTTTCGATTGGTTTTTCCGGATGGTCGTCAAGAATGAGTTGTTTAACAGGATAATCGTCTTTACTTTTTCCGGTATTTGTGCTATAGATCTGTCTAAAGATCTCAATGGCTTCGTCACACCTTCCTCGCGAAAGCAAAAACTTAGGACTTTCGGGTAAGAAGAAGAGCAAAGCTGCCACTATGAATGATGGTACCGCACAAATCAACAGGAAAATCCTCCAGGAGTTGTAGGTGAAACTTGGATGATGAAGACCAATACCGGTAGGTATGATGAGCCAGGCTAGCCCGGCTACGAATAAGTTTCCCAAAGTCCAGAAAGCCGCCATGAAGGAAAGCATGGAACCTCTTTTGGATTTGGGTTGAAATTCTGCAAAGTATGACCAGATAACTGGTCCGCTGCCCCCTAATCTGTAACCACACAAAGTTAGACCCGAATTTGCGTCCCGTGATTATACTTACGCCGCCCCATTTAGAAATCTGAAAAACATGAACAGCTCATATGTCTGACTGAAGCTTGAAGCCACAATGCACAGAGCGTTCATGAACGAGATCGTGATGAGCACCTTTTTACGGCCCAACGAGTCCGCCACCGAGCCCCAGGCGTAGGCTCCTGCCATCATCCCGATGAAGATGATGGAGTTCAGCCAGCCCTTGCTCTGGGTGCTCAGGTTTAAGTCGCATTGTGCAGACGGTAGGATGAAGGACATCGAGATGACGTCCATCTCCTCCGAGGTGCTCACGAAGCCGCATACTGCTAATAGAATGTAGTGAAATTTGCCATATCCGGTGAGTTCGATTGCTCGTTCGAAGTCGGCCTTGTCGGAATGTCCCTTTTCGACGTCGACTGGGATTTTATTCAGGTCTTTCAGTGTTGGTAGATTACCAAGCTCAAGATCTTTGGATCCGCCGCCGTTTAGAACGCGCTCGTCCTTTACATCACAATCTTGCTTGTTTTTTGATGGATGATCACTTTCTACCATTCTATGGTATCGATGGAGTTTGGTGTTTTGTGCGGCGGGCGAAAAAAGTGGAGACGGCCGGGGGGCGGCTTTTATTGGGGGCAGCGGACGAAAAGTTTATACAAAGCTCTGAAACAAAACATCCGTTAGTCGACAAACATCTGAATTAAATTTAAATCAGCAAATTTTGTGTTTGTGAAATTCATCCTAGCCAGCCAAGTTAATTTAAAAAAATTTAAACTATAAATTCTGAAATGTGCAGTAAACTTGATTTTGTTGTATATTATATATTTGAAACGTCAGTGACCGGTTTTACATCAACGTCAATGGCTGGAGAAATTCTTATAAACTTGTTTTTTTTTCTTTATATGAATATTGAAGTGATATAAAAAATTAAATATAAACATATTTAATTTGCTCTTTATATTCCGTGGTTTAGGTGAATCATCTGCATCAAGGATTTGTTGTTTTTTTATTTTGCTTTTTTTTTAACTTTCGAAGTGAAATATTTTTAACAAAAACAGTTGAAAATGTAAATACATATTCATATTTTGAAGTTGCATGTCATATATGCACAGTATAATCAAACAATTAATTAATTACATTTTTACTGAGTTAAAAAAACCTTCCGAACTTCAAGTGATAATATTCAGAAACAACTTTACCCATTTATAAAAAAAAGAACAGTTGTTTATAATATTGAATTAATCACGGTTACCACATTATGAATAAACCATTCAACAGCGCGTAATGAGATGTTTAAATTTTAAACGTGTTTTTACAATAATAAAAAAGATATTTTAGACCAAGGATTCTGATTTAGTTCAATGAAATATGATGCTGTACAGACCTAACCCACTAGGTGAAGAACAAATTTTATAGCCTATGTCTAGCCCGATTGGGTAATCATCATAGTAAGTAAAAAATCACAGCGTTGAAGTGGCAAACATCACACAAAATAAAATCATGCATCCCGCTGTACAAACATTGCTGATCTATTTTTATTGCTTCAATTAAATAAAATCTTGTCTAAGGTCAGCAATGTGCGAAGCTAAGTAGAAAGTGCAGCTAAGAAGGGAACAAATTGATTTATCATCTGTCAAAATTTGCAGCAGGGTTAATAAAAACGGGTGAATATTTTATAATAAGCGGCCATCCGCGATATTTTCTGCTTGTTTATTGGTTAGTCTGTGTCGTGCCAAGTGTCATCAAAATAATTTACTCCAATTAAGACAACAATTTCACATTATTGCTGCTGCGATGCCGCAACGACAGCAAATAAAGCGAATCATGCCTCGGTCTTAATAGGTAAGTAGGTGGCAAATTAATGTTTTATGTAATGATTTTTTCTAGAGTTTCCAATGGTACGAGACAGCAATGACAGTGATTTGGCGGTCAATGGAACGATCTTGAAGAGATAATAAAATACGCGATCTATATGAGGAGATCTGGAGGTGATCTCCTATACACAATAACGATGCTTAAACTTATATGAACCTTGTCGGAAAAGAATTTCAAAATTGCTCATTTTGACATATATGGATGTGGCCTTTGCTGAAACGTAGACCTTGATTATAGCGGCTCTACGTTCGAGATTTTTGAGAGTTTTATTTAATTAGCACTAGGGTAATAACCACTCAGATGTATTTATTTTCAAACCAAGAACTATAAACAGAAAAGTGGTCTCATCCGACGTTGCCATTTTTATATATTAGTTATCCTTCAGCTGGTTATGAAGATGACCATGGGTATAAAACGGTTGAACGTTCTAAATCCCATGTGACCCATTTTATTGAAACTCATTAAATGCGTGTGTTTTAACTGCTAAAAGTGTAAAAACGTTATTCTCTTATTTTCGTTATCACACTTTACTCTCGCTAATGAAAAACTTAAATTTCTGTAACATCTGCAAATTACAAGTCAACGCTGCGTCACTTTTTGCTTAGGTTAGGACTTAATTTTTCTTCATCGACAAACAGAATAATAAAGACTTAATTGATGTAATTAATTCGTTTATTAATCTCACGATATAAAGATATGCACCAATTTTGAAATGACCTTAATACAACCCTGCTGGTTAATTATTAAAAGAGAAAGACAAACAAAAACGTCATTGAAAGAAAAAAGACAAAACTTTTTTATTCACTTCAAATGTAAGATAACTGGTTTCGTGATTGTCCAAAACAACTTTTAATTCTCTTCACTATTAATAAAATTAAAAAACGTCGTGACGTCACCAAAAATGCCTTGTGAATAGTTACTCGTAGGTCGTCGAGTATGTAAATAGTTATTCCTATAGTAGTTATTTTTATTTACGCTTGCAACTTTCATTACGATTACAATGTTTACATTTATTGAATTGTTATATTATTTTATCAATCACGGATTAATTAACTACGCAGTGGTGTGTTGATAATATGTATTGTTATTAGCGAGAAAAATCTTTTTTTTTTTTATTTAAGAGGTTATAGATAACAATAAGAGAAAGTTTTCACGTGACGTCACAACTAATATTTATTGTTCAACAAGAAAGATGATAATTGTGCATCGACCTGGAAGCTCGTTTATTTAATTTTGTCGCTTTATGCAACTCTAATAACATCTACAGCTTCGAAATTTATTTTCAAAACAGAATAAAAATTTTTAAAACCCTAAGAGATTAACCACAATTTTGATAGCAACGTCGAAAATTCGTTGTGTACTTGTTTGTCATTAAAAAAATATTTGCTCGTTACGCTAATAAACCTAGTGTTTACTTATTTTTTGAAAAATAGTAGACATTTTCATATTCGGGAAGTGTCTAAGTTCACATCATATCATTATAATAACACAAGTGCGATAAAAAAATAAACTTACTTAAATTTGGAAAAAGGTCTTCTAATGAAATAGCGAGCACTATAAATCACAAATTATGGCTGTGGGGCACTTGTCGAGGCTGCACTTCACACACATTTCAGGACTGTTTTCGAAAAAATTTGTACAAAATATAGGCAGTGAATGTGAAAAGTTTGCACGTTTAAATCCTAATGAAGCAAAGTTCTTGAAGATAGGTACAAATTGTGGTTGCGCTGTTCCTTTCGTTTCAACTGGTGTGGGAACGTAGTCAATCAGATATAGCTAAACCATAAGTGTATAAACATATGTTTATATAAATATTTCAATGTGACGGTGATTGCCGAACAAAATCACAATCGTCCGTAAAATATTAGAATTTATCACTCGGTTGATAATTACGAGGAGAGGTTGAAAATACTCGCGCCTTAGCCACTCTCACTTTACTTTATATAAAATCTATGCTTGATTTAAGTGTGTTCGAAAAATTTCCGGCACTTGTGCTATATATCGATCAACACATCCAACATTTTAAGTGAGATTATCCCTCGTAAAATGATAACTAAAATTTGTTTGTTCTTTCCAAAATTTATGGCGTTTTCTTAAAATATTGCTAAGTAAATTTCACTTTCAATGTGTGACATAATGTGGCCTTTAACAATGTTTCGTTTAAACTTGGTCGATTTAAATTTGTTGTATTTGTTTACAGCCCCATTCAAAAAATTGATGACGTACATTTGTATTCAGGAATTGTATCAGTCGTTCCAGAAAATTCTCAACTTAGCCTCGTATAATTGTTCTTTCATGTGAACTGAATAATTTTTGTATCAATAAGTTTCCGACAAGAGACTGTGATATGGGAAAATAAACAACATTAGTCTTTATTGACAGAGAAATGTTGATAAAGATAGTAATTAGCCAGTAAATTTTATAAACAAAGAAACTTGAGTGTAATTGAATTACAAAGTACGTAGAGGGTGTAAAACTTCGTGACCAGTTGTAGTTGTAGTGAGAAAAGTAAAATTGAGACGCATTACTTATGCTTTACTAATTAAATTAACCAAAATAACTACTAATCTATCATGGAAAACCTGCTTCATGACTCATTGTTAAACTAATATTGAAAACCTATTTTACGATAATTAGCAGTTGTTGTTCTGAAAAAAAGGGGCAAATCATATACAAGGAATCCATGCACAACAGACACCCCGACGGAAAATAAATTAAAAAACTAAAATGCGTCATTTCGCACCTGTTTGCATCATGTTTGACTTTTTTACTTAAATTATATTGATGTATGATTAAACATTTGGATAAACAGATTTAGTCAATACGGTTTTTCTAACTTAAATTAGGAAGATTACAAGCATTATGCATCTAATTCGCGATGTTAAGAATTTGGCATGCTGTAATTGTTGCTAAAATCCGTCAAATTTTAACAAGGTAGCCCACGTCTGAAATTCCGGTTCCAACTTGTGTTTCACTATTTTGCAATAAGGTGGTACGAAATCAATGAAAAATTTAAAAACAAAACCATTAAATGCAGGATCAAATGTGACAGTCTGTCTCTAGTACAGTTTCGGTTTTTTGACAAGGTCATGCCATTTTTGACATTTGTTTTCAAAAATTAATTACATTGTGGCTGGAAAAAGTTTTAATCTATGTAGAGCTAGTTGTGGGCATTCTGGGTCTCGCAAATCCACCGAAATATGGGCATTTTGGACAACATTACTTACTAATTGATTACTCATTTACTCGGTTTTACCAAGCACGGTTTTGAGAATTCTTAATTATTTGGACTGAACCAGATTGAACTACGCGTGTTATTGACAGTTAAATGAAATTGACGAAAGCTAATTCAAATTAAATCTGAAAAATTTTATTGGTGTCAACACGGCCTTAAATATCTGACCGTAGATGCGCGCCCAACCGATAGAGCTAAATGAATCCCATAGAATGACAATAAATTAAAAAAAAACTTATTATCTAGAACTTTTTCGCTCATGACAAAAAAAAATGTGCTAAAAATTGGTTTAAAATATGTATTGTAGATTCGTATAAAAATAAAACAAAATATGCAGTCGTTAGAGAATATCTACTCGAACGTGTTATTTATTCGAAGGTTAATTTGATTCTGCCAATGGGGAGATAAGAGGAAATATTTAAAAAATGATGAAAAAAAATTGTGTTAAAGCAACGAGTGAAATAAAGTTTAGTTCAGAACATATAACAAAAAAGTTGTCTGTTCTTCGGTATAACAACAGAGCAACATGTTAAACGTAATTTGTATTTTTATCGTGTCAATAAACTTTTAACGAATGATTAATTACATACACATAAGGTTGGAGTTGACTCTAATTTGTAATTTAATAAAATCAATTAAAAAACATTTACATGTTCACAGTCCCGATAAGACAGTTATGAACACTCTAATCTTGACAAAGACTTAACTAATTAGAAAAGTGTGAATGTGTTTTAGACATATATCACCATCAATTTGCTCCAATATTTGTCAATGCGAGGATTCTGTATTTAAAACAATCAACCAAGAGTGGATATTATGATGTCATTTTACTTATTATATCTGGATTAAACTTGTAATTACCGCCAATAATGTGACAATTTTCTTAATTCTTCATTAACGAGTGATTATTTTTCTCAGACTCGTTTCATAGTTTCATGACCCCCGCATAAGCATAAATTTACAGAGAGTTTTACATATTTTTTACCAATCTTATCAAAGGTTACACAAAGTTATTTACATCAGAACAATTGTTAAAATGCAAATATATCGTATTTTATGTTTAAAATATTTATTTACAACTAATCTATGTCAGTCAAAATTAAGCCGCACCTTGGTTGCTCTATTTTATAATAGTCATTCCCCACTACACAACAAATAGAAAGGCTTAAAAAAATAAAAAAATAACTTGTTAGCAAATTATTTGCGTCAGATTTTTCAATCGAGTGGAAGGTTTTTTTTTTTTAATGACGCCTGCAGTCATTCGTTTACAAAAATATGTAACTTTTTTTGTAAATCGTGACTAAGTCGTCAAAAAATTGAAGGACTACTTAAGTCAAAATAAGCAAAATTTGCATTAAAATTTAATTAATGCGGCGTCGATAATTAATAGTAGTACGAAAACCCAAAATACTGAGTTTTTGGAATTACTTGACGAAATGGTAAGAAAATAGTATCTGCCAATTAGGCGTCAATTTACAAGTAATTTTGTATTGCTGTAACTCTAATTGGAAAATTGATTGACGAGTCACTGTTAAAATGTAAAGCAAACATTGTGTTATGTTAATACGCTAATGCAGTTTCACCAACAAGTTAAAAATAAAGAAAAATAAAAAGTACCTGAAGTCCTCAGAGATGGATGATTGAACACTCCTGCAGGGCTGCTAGCAACCTCCGCAGTTAAACTAAGTTGGTGAAAACAGAGGCAAGTATATATATTAGTCCAGGCCATCTCATTGTCAACTAAGTTGATCAAAAAGTAAACAAGTAAACATGTGATGTAATCTTTTACATATAAAAATATACGTCTTCCACGATGAAACTGTCAATTCCGCGAAATCACCACTTCGAAATCCCGCAAACGACACCATATCGGAAAAAAGCAAATTCGAAATTTATTTCCCTGATTAATTGGTAGCGGTCACTACTGGTAACGTTACTCATTCGTGACGTCAGCAGAAGTCATTGTTTCATAACATTGCAAACAGACTTAAGTGCGAGTACAAAATTCTTAAGATTCGTTCAAATAATCGTAATCTGCCGTTCGAGCTATTTTAATCGGCTTGTGTGGACTCATAAAAAAGGTCCTGCAACCGGTTTGACTAATTTGGTACCTGTACTGATAACGATTTTAAAGCGCTGAGTCGTACTTTTCGGGGGATATTTTTGGCTGCAAAAAACAGGTGTATTCAGACTCAGGTTAAAGTGTTTTATTCACAAATATTCGTGTTTGTTTATTTTAATTTTGTTTTATTTTTTCCAAGCAAAAAACGTCTGAAAACATCTCGATTTTGTTTATGACTAAAGCTATATTTAGTGACACAAAACAACTTTTTTTTTTGGAAAATAAAATTTATTCATTTTTATTGTTGAAATATTTTATGACAGGCATTTTACATTTCCAAGTTATGTGTCGGTTTGTACATGATTTATTAACTGTCTGTTGTTTATTTAATCTATGTGTAGGTAATGTTTGTTTTATAAATCAATAAACGTTTTTATTGTTGTTATGGTTATTATTGTTAATTTCAATTTTATGTTTATTTACAAGAAAACAACAGTTTAACTATTTGCCGTCCGCTGTACACATTTATAACTGAAAAGAAAATATTTGTTTGTAATTGTTTCCTTGTACCAGAATATTTTTAGTTAAAAAAAACTAAAGAAGTTAACCACAATTTAGTGGTTACCAATACGTCATGCCAAAAATATAAAGGTTATTCTTTCGAAAATAACAAAAACATTTGTAATTATTACAATAAATTTTGTTTTCCAACTGAGATTTTAAAAGATAAGAATACCTAATTTATTAAAGTGAAATTTTTACTACATACATGCATACCATGCATATAGGAAGTAACTTACATAACTTATTTTATTCATATTTCTCATTTATATCAAAAGTAAGAAAAATGAAGAACTTGTTAGCATTGAGGATTGATTTTTGTTTTCCAACTGACATTACAGACATTTTTTTCACTGCTTCATTAACTGATTTAATGCAGCCCTTGTTTTTTGCAAATTGACAGTCTTTCTCAACCAGTAAATGACGTCAAGTGTAAGTTGGTTTGACACTAGTGATACTAATGTCTAAATATCAGTATTTACACAATGACATGATAAAATTGCTGAAACGATTTGTCTTTGTATTCTTCCATTTCGCACTTAATGTTTAAATAAATATATGTTAAAATACGCATTTACCTTTACTTTGAAATTCGTTACACCAGTGACGGCGTCATTTTATCTTGAAAAGGGAAACAATTCTAACGACTATTTTCGCGAATTTCTAGTGAATCATATAATCAAGCTGTCATAGCGTGAACACAAATTGATTCATATTCTCTCAGTCATCTCGGCATTATTGTGAAATTTCATAGTTCCTCTTGATAATAACATCGGCCACAATACAAATTGAAGTGTTGCTGGCGACCTTTTCCTGTTCCACATCCGCTTAAAATTTTTGTAAATTAATTGATAATTGACGCAATTTATCAATCACAAGACATGTTGTTTGACAGGCTACAAGAAAAGTGATCGTGATATAAGAAATATATCTTCGATCTGGTATTCTGGCTTAATGCATAAATGTCACTTAAGAGCTAACTTAAATGCAGTAAATTAAATTAAATCACGGTCGAGTCGTACGAAATGGATAGACGCACTGTTTCAGAAAAACAAAAAAACGTCTTTAGAACTAGCTCTTAAACGATAATTAAAACAAAATCGGACACAAAAATATGACTGAATGTCTTTAATGTAGGTGTAGTTACTCACCTAGTCATAGTCAGGCTGTACTTCTCGACCTGCCCACCTTTCTCATATGTATAGTGCACCCTCAAATTTTCTCCTGGATAATCCAAACTTAATGAAGTAATTGAGAATGAGCACATTGACATGTGAAAATCACGATTTTCCGCCACAAAATTTAATAGATTAAAAAACACGTAGGTACGCAGTGACTACAAACGGTCATTGTATAACAATGGTGAGTACATGATAAGTTTAAAATGGTTTATCCTATTTGGTTAACTACTCTCAACACAAGGTCTTTATAACCCCTTTTCTTTGTAAAACATCATTAGCCACACTTACTTCTGATGGCATACATAGCTGTCAAATTGTTCAAATGGATGTGGAGGTAGGTAATAACAGCTTTAAAATTTCAAATTAATTGCTTTATCACTTTTGCTACATCCGTTCACATTTCTTCTCATGCGTGCATTTGATGTTATTGTTTTTTCTTTGAATTGTGGATTTAATTAGCACAAGAAGCTTTATTATGCATTCATTAATTATAAGGAACAATAATTATTCTTCTCTGATAAATCTTTCTAGTAGGTCGTTCGACAAGATGGTGACAAATCGCTCATACATGGGTCATTGATATTTACTTAAAATGTTAAATTAAGTAAAATAAATATGTTTTTTGTTGCAACTCGGTCTTTCCAAGATGATTACAACAATTCTGGACCGCAACAACAAGCATTTCGCTAAAGTTACATAATTTCCTTATTATTACAACTATTCCATTTCTACAAAAACCTTTGTAATCACCTGACACCATTAATTTTGTAGTCAAGTGTTTTTAAGAAAATTATGACCTCATGTACTGTCAACGAGTCACAGATTGTCCATATTGTTTGATCTAGAACCCCAGAAAAAACTAGTAATGAGGTGGAGTTCCGTCTTGTTCGTAATAAGTTTACCTATTGATATTACAAAATAATATGAATAAACACAGAAAACAATAAACTCGACTTCCGTCAAAATTTAAACAAAATATTTTGACTGCAGTTTGTATAAATCAAATTTATAAAATTTTAAATATTTTCGTTTAAGCATACTTTTTCAATTTTCTGTGGAAATGCCTGTTTTCTTTAAACAATGAACGCAAATTTACAACAGGTTCATAATAAAATTTTATTGTATAACAAAACCGCGGCGAAAACGCCAAACTTAGTATAATGTGGTGACGCGTTTCGCTAACAAGTTTAGCACCAACGGGTCAACCAGTAGCTAATACTGATCACGTGACGACTTATATTTTATGACTGTTCGTCCTGCATTTCCTTCCACAGTGATATCGTCGTTTGTAAATATTTCTAGACTTTCTAAGATGTTTAGACACTTAAAGTTTGACTAGTGCGGTTTAGACGATTTAATACAAACACCCACTTATTATATAATTTGACGTATAACACGCATGTGTATCATTAACTATTTACGTAAACCTACATAACATTAAAATATTTTAACTTAATGTGTTAACAGTTTCCAGCGCAAGGTCGTTTCGTAAGTGTAAATGTATCTTCCATTCTTAGTAAAAGCTTACGAAAGCATGCAACGTTTTCACTTACGTCGAGTCTACACAGGCCTTTATAGTAGTGTCTGGTTTTATTTTTACGGAAATTACAATTAAATTTAAATAATGGTGGAGGCGCCGGGTAATGATTGCGCAAACATTTCAAGAAATCTGTGAAAAAACCAAAACATGTTTTTCGTGACATTTGTCGTTATCAGGTTTTTGCTAAAACTTAAGTTAAGTTTGATGTGACGTGTGGCTGCCACGTGAAACCGACTAAGTATCTACGTCTGCAAAATTACGCTTTTGACACTAGAGGGCGCATTGTTTGTAAGTTTGACCGCAACGAACAAAGATGGCTCTGACTTGGAACAGAAAATATGATGTGGTGATTCTGGACAGTACGAAATCGTACAGCAGAAGACTGCGAAGAATCTGGGACAATTAACTTCTAAGGGAAGGGACATCAATCCAAAATACAATTCTTTGCGGAATCCATTTATTTCCGGATTATATAAATATACATAATCCTGGTTTAAGGTTACTGTGGACACATTTTGCGTCATACCTAGATTGGCCACACCCTCGTTGGGGTTGGTACCACCCTAAGGTTTATTTCTAATGGATGAATCTAGAACTAACTTCATCATCACTAGGGTGCTACACTCCCAAATCTACACCCCTGGAAACTCCAGTGATTACAAGTGTACTAACGAATTAATGATAAGCACTATTGTTTTAAACTTTTATTTGATTTGCACATAATTTTATAAAATAAAGACACTTTTTGTAACTCGTAGTGATAATTTAACGCCTACAAATATGTAACATTTTGTGTAATTACTAATTCGACGTTTGCAAACGGCGGTAAAATTTGAATTGATGCTCGTTTCCATAGCAACGGATGTCAACCAATCACAACACCGACTGTCAAGGTCTCTTCTTTAAAAAAATGTGTAATATGAATATGGAAGCTAATATACTTGAAATTTATGGTTTACTAGAGTACAATTGGCTTATTTTTTTGTTTTTGTTACAAAAGTGGCAGTAGTTTGCGCCACAATGAACTTAACTATCTAAATCCGTATTAAATCGTGGTTAAATACAAAATGTTTACTTTTAAAACTTTTTTGATTGATAACAGTGTTGTTTGTCCATCGTACTTAAATATATACGACCTGTTTTAAGTATAGTGCTCTTTAATGTAAAAAAACTTAACAATGGTTTTGATTTGTATACATATATATACACTTACCTTTGTTTGATGATGTCTATGATGACTCATACCTTGGGTACAATGCTTAACCAAGCCAAATTCGCCAGTAAAATAAAACATTGTATTTCAATTATTATGAAACAATTTAATCATATTTAAACAATCTGTTTAATCATTAATTTTATTAATTTACAAATTTACAGTTCATTACTTAACAATAAAAGAACTCCAACTGCCGAGTTTGAGTCCTCTTAAAGTTAGAATGTTTAAATTCCATGTGGGATGGAGTACTCTTTTAAATTACAGTTTTATTTGTTCTACCAGAATCTGGAGAAGTACATAAATTTTACACTTACCACTTAATTAATTTCTTCTGAGGAATTAGTTCGTCTTTAACGTTTGTAAAGAAAAAATGAATATGTATAACAGTTCCCCGGAAGAAAGAAATCAACTGGTTAGATGTTTATGATGATCAACAAAATCTTTTTAATACATTTCATATGCTTACATAATTCAGCACGTTTAAAATAATGAGGCTATTTTGCTAAAATAATTGCAGAAGTGTATGAACAATAAAAATGTTACAACGTAAAACGACGGATTTTACCATCTATAGGTATATTTTCATTATTTACATTTTAGATTAAGTATTAAGTAGGTACATTCAGACTGAAATTATAAATCAATGCCGTAAATCAGAAACCCATGTGACAGCTAGCATTATGAAATATTTACATTTACGAAAATAGTATGTATTGAAAATTAGATCTATGCACAATCACAAATGGTCCTACCTTTATCGTAAATTTGCCAAAAAATAAGTTTTCACTTAGCACGATCTATAAATCTTTATTAAATAATGTCCAAGCTTGTTTTGATCAATTCTAAGATCATTTGTAATTGTCGAAACCTAATTGCCCACTATTTTATTTACAAATATTATAAAATTAGCAGTAATTTCTCAAGAATCACAGTAGATTCCAAAATTCGAAACTAGAATATTGACATATATAATCACAAACTGAACCCCAACACTTTATAAAAAAGAGACAACAAAAAGACGAATGCTTCAAGTTAAATCTACAAGCAAAATAGTTCTATATCCGTTAAAAATTAGACTACTGATACTATTCAACATTTCTTCTTCTTAGCAAAAATCATTTGGAACAATAAATGGCCTCAATTTTATATTTTTAAACTTAGTTAACAATAAAATATACTAATCACTCACAACTTTCACTTTTAAAAATTTAAAGTCAATACTCAAATTTTAAGTATAATAAAACAGATCTCTAGAATGTGTTTCTCCATTTCCGCTGCCCTCAACTGACAGAGTTGTTCAAAAAATGCAACTGTTACAACAAGAGGTGCAACTTTTTCTATTAAATCAAACTCCGCCGTTCTGTCAGTAGATCGAAAGTCCTTGATCTAACTAAAATTTTACAGTAGCTAATATCATAAGTACGGACTGACAGTGTATTTCCGCTTTTAATGAGGTAACTAGGTATTCATTATAACCTATAAATACTAGTCGATCTAGTTTCAGAACGCGGGCACCGGATTATCTAACTATTCATTGTAGTCCCACCATTCTTTTTCATACCCTTCATGGACATGCTCTAACAAAACTTTCCTCCTACTATCGCAATACCTGAAAAATTTTTGTTGTTTTTCATACACACCGCGACTTCAATTTTTGTTTTTCGTTACTCACCTGTATTTATCTTGGACTTTTTGCTTAATATCGGCGAGATTTTCAGACGTAATATCTCTCTCTAAATATTCAGATAACGTTTCAGTGGCACTCTCCAGGTCTTTTTGGTTATCTTCGAAAATCACAGACTGGTTATTTTTTTGTAAATAGTAAGCAAAAACGTAAGTATACATAAGTGTCTGTCGGCATTGACATAAAATATCCACCGCTCTTTTAAGAAACTGGACTTCAATCCAACTCATGTTATGGTGTTGCATTTCCTCCATTTTCTCCTTAACCGACGCGTACAACTTATGCTCGAACTTCAAAGATGCCATGTGATTCATGTATCTGTTGCAATAGAACAGATATCTCTGCAACGCCGAACGCGACTTCTCCTGGGCGTCTCTAGCCGCTTTTGCCTCGTCTTCGTCGTATCTATTGCAATTATACCAAGAGCTACCGTGTGGTTCCCACGGTCCTAAACATACCCAACAAAAGTCTGCTTTGCAATTTTGATTTTTGCACACCATGTGATTGCAACCGCCATCTTTCTCTATTGTTACGTTACACTTTGGACACTCTTTGGTGTTAGCTGCAATCCAGTTGCTAGTCTCGGAATCATCGTCGCACTTCTTTATCCATTTTTTCAATAGATGGCATTTCACAGGGTCGTGCCAATTTTCACCACAAGCGAAACAAAATGTGTGGTTACATTTGCACGTCACTCGATGAGGCTCCACGTACTGCACTTTTATTGCGTTGCTACAGTCTGGCGAGGGACACCATCTTAATAGGCGATTGCACTGCAAAAATAAATGCACTTCACTCATGTGATACTTACTTGTCGTGCCTGATTACAAAAACTACTAGGAATTTTTTATACGTGTTAGGAAATGTGTTCATTATACACTTGTAATATCAAGGACGTACGAAATGAGTACATTCCACCATTGGTTTGATTTAACTTATCCAAACACACTTGAATAAGTTTTAACGCACGTGTGAATTTTGTTTATTGACTGACAACAAACACTTATCAGTTAAAAACTAGCACAGTTGTGATTTTGTCGATTTACGAAGTCTCCACATATTTACAACGAAAAGATTATTGAAAAACGATAAGGAAACTATAATTTGATTATTTATTTTATTTTAGGTTAACCTATTTTTTCAAGTGGTAAGATATAAAGTTTGAAAATTAAGTTACTAAAGAAAATTTTACAATTTATTTACGATGAATTCAATCATTCTTAGTTTAGTAACAAGGTTAAAAATCCACATAGTATTCTATGTGCGTCGGAGGCGATGGAACTTCAGTATAAACAAATTTACACACTTTTCAGCAAGAAATGCGCTGAAAGAGCAATATAAATAAAAACCACAATATATAAAGAAAGACACAAATTTCTTGTGTCGAAAATATTAAAAATTAAATGATCTTTAAAAAGAAGTTAAAAGGTTATTAGTGCAAAGTTAATAATAACGTTAGTTAATTGTTGGTTTATCGCCAAGGACACGTTAAACGGTAATAAAAAAATTAATAACGTCAAAATCGAGTCAAAATATTATAAATTTAGCGATATATTAGAGGAATTTGATTTTGACCTTGAACGATTTAGCAACTTTCGTGGGCTGCTTTTAATCATACGTGATTTAATAAAGTTGATTAAACGCATTATAAGTTATATAACGTTGATTTGTACATTGATGTCAAAGATAAAAACTGATATGAGATCAATATAACCCTGAGACATCTTCAAAGTACTTTTTAAAGCTATAACCATTAGGATCACACAACTTAATCATTTTAGTAATGTCTGACTTAAGCATGAATGACTTAAGTAGAAACTTTAATTTGTACATGGTTGGGTTAAATTAAAATCATGGCTATCTAAACAAGTGACCTTGGAATAATGAAATATTTATAAAAACGCGAAAATTATCAACTTTTGCTAATTTCTAATAAGTTCGAATCCACGCAGTCCAGCCAACGTGAAAATCAAACACAATGGAATTCTTGTAGCAAATTAAAATTCTTCTTTTATCTAAAAATAGTTTCACTTGTTCCATAACATAAAATCGTTACAAAATAATTAAGAAAAAACTCTCCCAAAGTGCATGAACTTTAAAATTGCATCAATTTAAATAAATTTCAATAGTGATGAAGTGAATGATTATAAAAACAACTTTTTCATCATTTTTGCAACTTACCTCAACAAAACTATTGGTGATTAAATGTTGATATTTTAACTTAACTTTAGAATCCTTGACTAATTTCATAACAGTAGCATCATCAACAAGTATGTCGCAGCCGTAAGCTGCACAGGCAATAGTTTGTCCCACACCCTCCTCCATAATTTTTGTTGTTAAATACTCACACCAACAATGAGTACAAAATTTATGTTCACATTCAAGTCCAGTCATATGCTTAAAAACAAACTGAAGGAAAAACGAAAACAAAGAACGCGTTAACTTACAGATGAAGGAAGGGTCATGAAACAAATTTCGCACTCTTCTGTCCCGTTGCCGCTTTTCTTTGTTGGCTAGTAATCAAATTTGTTAAAAATAGAGGAAGTGAGCGCTTTTAGGTTATACCTTAACTTTGTTGTTGTATTTGTTGAACGGATTAATGACTCGAGCTTCTGAGAAGAGTTTGTCTTGGTCCCCGTCATAAAACCGTTCCATGAGTTTTTCTTTATCCCATCGAAAGTGATTCAAGAGAATGCGTGTTGTTGTTGTGGATATCTGAAATTGGGGTTATAAATGACTTGCAGCGTTAGTTGGAAGTCTGATTCACCTCCACCACTGAATTAACTTCTTTGATCGAATCAACCATGTGCTGGACGATTTCCTCCGTCGATAGGACTTCGTAGGGGTAGTCGTCAGCATCTGTCTGTTTTTCTCTATGTCCTGTAACTTCAACTTCCATTGCAAAATCAACATCATCGCCACTAGATTCGTTTCCTGAGTCAACATTGTCGTAAGTATCCTCTTCTGAATCCATAACAATGGGATTTGAAAAACTGACCACTATCACTACAAACGTTATTGTTTTTTTATTTGAATTCTCCGAGGGTATAGACTATGTAAAAATTGATAAAAATACATTCACACACACATAACGAGCACATTACCAACTGAGATTCACGGAAAATGTAAGAATAAACTCTGCCAGTTGACGTTAGTGACACTTCGCACATCTGTCAAGACAACTCAACAAATCAACGATAGATGGCACACAATGTCAAACCGAACTTGACCTTGACGCGCACCAACCAATTATCAAACAGGATTTTTTTAAAGGCGATGGCATCGAAGACAAATTTCTTGCAACACCACATTTGTTAAAACACCTTCTCCATAACTAATAATTTAATAACTTTAACTAACAACAATTAGTTAAGAAGCTTAAACATTTTTTTTAATAAGTCAATCAGTACCCGAAATGGGGTGATTTAAATATATACTGGGTGTCTTTGAATTTGTTTTTCGGCTAACGATCCTTTATAAAATTGAGTCAACACTCCATTTTTGAAACTGCAATGAAATCATACATTATTAGTGTCATTACTAGGAAAAAACCGAAAGATCCAGTATTTACTTTGAACATAAATTGATATTTAATTACTCTTGAGTCTTGACCATAGGGAGTGTTGGATCTTATAATCTACGATAAATGATAGCTTTATATAAATATCCCATTGCCTACTTAGATTAGATTGTTATAAATAGAGTTCCGAGATTGTCATTATTCCTATAAACTAGTTAAAATTTTATATAATTATTAAAACCCGTGCAAAGATGGTAAAACTCTAAGCAATTTTTTATTGATCTTCTCCAAATATTGTTAATTTTACATCCGAAATGCAAAAATCGACCTTTTCCTACATAGCAAAAGATAGCTAATACCAAATCCACACGTGTTAGAAAAAAACGAAACATGAATGCGTGCGCATATTAAAGAAGAATTGCCTCCATTAAATTTCCGCGCCATGTGTGAATTCTTTTTTCTTCGTTATTAGTTTACTCAAATAAAAAAAATCTTTCACTTTATACAAATTACAAAATATTAGTTAGGTTTGAAAATTGGTAATTTTGTGAAACGTCATACTCACCAAGCGTACTACCAACTACATGTAAATAATCAAGTTCTCTCTAGGCAACGTAAATGGTAAATAATAAGCGGCATCACTCTGATACATGTCTACCCTAATATTTGAAACTTGAAAATCGACTCGCCCACAAGAATTATGCGCGCGCGACCATCAGTGACGTCAGAGAAACACAGTCTTGTTAAAGAATATTAACTTATGAACGATTATATGTTAATATTCTTTGGTTCTGTGAAAAGTTGGATTGGTTATGTACTTGGATGAAAGCGTGACTAAGATCGTCCACGCCCCTCTGAAACTCCACCAATAGCGTAATGGTGCTTCAAGGAGGCGTCACTGGAACAGCTTTACACATTTTGTTTTATTTTTCAGACGTCCTGTATAAAATTATAAATCAAATAATCTCTACAATAGAAAATACAAACTTTTCCTGCAGTTGTAGTCATGAAATAAAATTTTACTTAGATTTTTTGTTTTTGCTTAGTCGAGAAATAGAAGTCTGAACCAAATTGACGTATGATTTAAAACCATAGATATATCTAATATAACGTCATAAATTACCTATCCAAAGGTTTGTTCAATCTCTTCTATTACATTTTGTATAATTCTTGAAACTCTTTTTAATAATAATATTAATAATGTATGGGTATTTAATGAGTCTGACGTATTCTATATCAAATTAAATATAGTAATGACGAGATAATTACGGGCTCATTACATTTTAATTTTAATTAACTTGTAACGTTACTTGGAAAAATTAACTTAATTTAACGTTATTTTTAACACTAGCTTAGTTCCAAAATGACATACATGCATCAAGTTAGTATAATAATTAATTAACCACTAATTAATCAGTAATTAATTAAACGGTAATTTTAATGTCATTATTGTGCGTCATAAATAATAATAATCAAACAATTTAAAACCGAAATATCTTTCGAATGACGTCACAAATAGACGAACTCGAACTGGGCGCCTCTTGTTCCTTAAACATTGTATTCAAGATAACATTCTTCTATTACACTAGAGACCCTAAGACCCTTCTTTAGATCATTAACATAACGGGACAGCTTAATTTAAAAATGGTTAAATGGTCAAGGTTAAGTTAACAATGTTATCATCCAAGTACCTGGACAGCGAAAGGGTCGATTGTTTCTCAGAACCTCAGGTAGCCAGAAAGAGATTAGTGCTAAGATTATGTTTTTGTTGGTGATTTTTTATCAGTTTGGCAACATATTCAAAATTTTATGGTTGCCAACCTGACGTTAAATCCAAATTCTGCCATCTTGTGTTGGTTAAAAATTTAATAAAACATCTAAAAACTCATATATATCCATTATACTCAGAACCGGAACTTAATCCCTTTTACGACGTCGGCTTAAAATTTTTCTACCTGCTAACCGAAAACGGTTCGGATAATATAATGACCTTGACCATTCCGGGAAACTCGGCTGTTCCGGATTAACGAATTTCTCAGAAATTCCCGGTAATAAAATACTTTCTTTATCCTAATTGGGAAATTAATTGTCGCCTTTTTGGAAACATTTTGTATTTTTTAGTTTTGAATTACGTGAACAATAAAGTTAAGTAAAGAGTAGTTGCGTAGTAAATTTAGATTTTTGTAATTTAAATTTTCCACTACTATTTCATATCAATACGATAACCGATGTTGGAATGTATATGGATTCCTTGACTCATGTTGAATTCTGAAGAACTGAATTGTTGTTGGGTGATTGTTTATCAGTATCACTATACCAGTGGTTCTATATTGTTTTGACACTTTGGTGGACCAAAGATATTTGGGAAATTTAAATTTAAATTTGTTTTCTACGATAGGTTAATGTGTTTTAATAATACTAATAATATTGTTCAAGATTTAGCAAACTATATTATTTTTTACTAGAGAATAAGAAACTTTGTCGCCATTTTTTTAATACGTCACTAATTTAAAAGGCACAAATAATTTATAATATTTGAAAAAAGCAGAGTGAGAAAAGATATGGCCCTGTTTATTTATTTATTTTTGTAATAAAGTGTAACTTCCACTTTGATGCGCCGCCACTGTCGTTCTTCAATGAAACCAACTCCTCCAATTAAAATTAAAATTCTCATAAGATTCTATTAATAATTTACAAACGAAGTGGTTTCCTAAAATTAAACAGAATTCCAACTCGATATTTATTAAAATTTATAGCTTTTCAGCGACATACTCCATTTCATTTACTGAATCGATTTAGGACGCATTTATTTGACTCTACGTAGTACTACGAATGGGAAAAATCACACGGAATACAAAGTTTTAATAATGTTGTCAACAATTTCTCCCCAAAGAACAAAAACATTCATTAAATTCGTTCGGAACGCCACTGACCTTGCCGTTTCGTGCCAAAGTACAGTTACACCAAAAGTCGCAATTATATCAAACAGTTAAATTTAATAAAATGCATACGGAATGGTAATAATTTGTCTTTCGTTTGATTAATCAGTTTAATAAAACCGATCATGACTTATCATCGGTAGCTGCATTGAAACCGTCGAGGAAAAGTACGCTCTTCTCGATTACAACGATGACGTCATCAATACGTAGACTGCCGTCATTACGAAATACCAAACGCGACGTTCTGATTCGTGCATATCTGGCGGAAGCCATATTGAAAAAAACAACCATAAATTATGCGTTGATAGTGACTCCATCTAGCGAGCGCGAAAATGGGGATAGTTGAGAACACAACCATTGATCACGTGGAAAGCGACTGACCATGACGCTGTAAAACCGGAGTTTTGAAAGAAAAACTGGCTGGAAAACGGATAAATCGGTTTTATATGATGGAAATGAAGAAATGAACTTTGGGGCATCGGTTAGGTGTGGAAATTAACCGATTGGTTGCGAAATCGTTAAATTTGGGAAATTTACATGTTCTAAGGTTGTAATTTATGTTAAATTAGCGATCTGAAGTGTTTCGGAAGATTGAGGTTAAATTTGGGGGGTCATATTGGGTCGGTTTAAGTCGCGCGATTTGTGCATATTTTTCACGTATTTGGGTTGTTTTTGAGTTCTTTTGGTATGTTTTGGGGTCGGCGGAGATCTTGGCGACGTTTTTGTAAAGTTTTTGTCGGTTTGTCGTGTGTTAGGTTGTAGATATATAGGGTTTTTGAGGTTGGGCCGGTTAAAGATGGCGGCGGACGTGATTGCTAGGTTATTGGGGAGGTGTCGCTATCGTTGTAGTTGGTAAATTGTCCGTTGGTTGTCGCTAGTTGAGGTATTTTTGATGCCATCTAGCTTGTACCCCGCTTTCGAACGTTTTTCGTGTACTAATATGAGTACAGTGTAGTGCTGTTAAGTGTGTAATGAAAACCCTGGCTTCCAATGTTTTTAAAATAAAGTTAAAAGTGTTTTAGAGCCGGTGAAAATTCCGTTAACCTGTGTTGCGACCACGGACCGATTGGTGCAGTAGTTTTCGCATGAATTCGGTCCGGCAAGAGAGTTTAACACCGAGTGTTCCATTTTGATGGCGCTATGGCCGCTAAAACATAACCAGGGAAAATATAAACCCGCCTTAACCTCACTCTTGGTAAACATCAATCAAACAAAAATGGGCAGCAAGATCTAGTGACTAGGGTAGTTTTTCGATTCGGATAAAGCAAGAACTGGAAAAATGAACGTCAAGCAAGAAAGGCACGACGATGCCGAAATTCAGGCTTTAGCTGACAAAATTTTGGAGGCTAGTAAAAATCGGATGGTTGTAAACCAGCAGAAGGCTCATACTGGCGTGGGACAGAATTTAATTTTGAATTCGATGATGAATGACAAGAAAAAACAAAACAATAACGTCCAGTCCACGAGTAGCGGAGAGTCAGGGAAGGCTATAGACGAGGAGTCTATTCGGGGGCGTTTTGGCTGGGAAACAATAGGGAAGAATCCAATTCCGTATATAAACAGAGCCGGCGAAAAGTACTGTGCGGTTAGAATGGTGGAGATGAAAGCTCTTAACAAATACTTAAATTATTTGCACCAAGACATTTACAATTGTACTTGTATCCGGAGTTACTACATTACGGAGAACGAAGGTAGGCTTCTTAACGAAATTAACATAAAACATTGTGACTACCAGTTCGGTAAAGAACAGTTTACACAACGTGATCTGATCGTTAGACTGAGTGATGCTATAGAATTCTACAATTTCCTCTGTTCATGTTACACAAAGTTAGTAAATGGTGAGACGGATTCCCTAGGACGAAGTGGCTTTATTCGAATCAATAAAGAATCTGTGGTGCCCTACACTGTATATAACGACCAAAAATACGTCCCCTTATTCTACTTCGAGGGAGAAACAGAGAACCTAAAACAGCGGGCCAACAAGTTAGAAGGCTGGGATCTTTCGTATTTAAAGTTTTGTTGTAAAGTTCAAGGGATTCGTAACGAACTCTTCGCTCACGATTCATGTTCAGTTATTAGCTTAAATGATATTAAGAACTATTTTCCCCCCGGAACGCTCTTCGAGGGTTACTGGCCCAAGAAGAGCGTCGATTCGCAATTATTAATTAGCGGCAATACGAGAAACCAGTCGCAGATAATCCAGTGGACACGACAACCCGCAGCGCCCCCCATCGCCCATCCGGTGCCCAGTCCTAGGGCCGTCAGCTTAACTCAGCCCAAACCACCCACCAATAGTCAGATGCATAATGTCCATTCGTATTCGAGTTATGGAATGGCTGGCCAGCATCCTTATCACCCGCCTCAATCACGTACGCCAGGTTCAGCAATCCGGACGACCTATCCTGCTGCCGCTGGAAACAGGCACATGAGGTCGCCCAATTACTATTCGAACCTTACTCAGGGACCACCACCACCACTTGTACCTACCACACAGACGTAAGTCAATTTTATCACTCAGTATCGTGTCTTTCGCATCCAGACTTTACAACTGGATCAAAAATCTAACCTAAGTTAAGACTGTTGGACAGCATCTCTTTATTTTAAAATACGCGCTATCGCATTGTCACGTGACAGCTAATACATTTGTATTACTTTTTTAGAGACAAATTGGTGGTGATATAGATTAAATAATCACGTTTTTGTACAAGTTTGGTCTTTTAGCTAAATTATTCAATACCATGGAATGACAATTACTTTCTGGTGTTCGCGACGATTTCTACGGTTATTTACTTAGAAGATGCCGCAGTTGTCGTACGACGGAGATTAAGTTGTGCAGTATAATATTTACTTTAGTCTGTTTTATTTTATTTTATTTTCTGTATATGTAATGCTTTTTACAATAAAATTTCATTTATTGACATTTTTTTTTTTCAAAATTTTTTTCAAAAAAAACTAGTTTTTAAATAAGTGCCTTTTTATTGTTGTAAACTGATTATGTCTATGCTAATTGCTGCATATCATTCATTTAAATTACAAAAAAAAGTCATAAACATAAAAAGTACTACCACAATGTCATAAGGTACTAAAATATATACGTCAGAAGTACGCTGACAGTAATTTGGACACCATTTAAGTCCATAGTATAATCCCATAGGTCAGATTTGACACTAAAAAAATCTTGGACAATTTAGAAGAACTGTCATTTAATTTATTGGATTAGTATATAAGGGCAAGCGTCCACCACAATTCAAACAAACCTGTGTGTAGAATTTCCGGTGGAAAAACCTTTCGTGGTAATAATTGCATTCAAGGTAGTAATTGACGACAAATAAAAAACAATACACTCGGTATGCAAAAACTACAACACGAAGATAATTTCCAGTATTTAAATATTAAATTTTCTTTATAGTTTTGTGTAGTAGTAATTTTGAATTTTGACCGTGAGTCAATATTTTTCAGTGACTCATTCACTCGAAACAATTGATGACGTCACCTACAACCAAAAATAATAAAAGTTGGTCATTACACCAACCACTTTTTTGACTTTATATATTCGCTGTCAGAAATTTATCGACTAAAAGTACCCAAATTTACCCAAAATTGTCATTTTTAAGTCGACCTGTACATGTCATTAAAAAACTAATAGTTATATCCGACTTTTTTCGAAATTTTGGGACAACTTCTTTCCAAAAATTTGATGACAAGTCTGCTAAAAATACCCTGAACGTCCGCCGTCCAGGAAAATATGAAATCAATCTCCATACAAAATTTGCACCCTGTGCTGAAATATTTTTCAGTGTTGATTGATAATTATGATTTATTTCAAACCGAATTTCGCACCATCCGTTTTATTTTTGACATTGTGTCGCAATTAATCATTTTAAAACGAGCGGCACACATCTGAAAATTGATTTTTGTAGCAACTGATATTCGTTCGTTTCAAAAACAATCCCCATTTTTGTAAAACAAAATCTAGCACACGAGGTTTGTTAATTAGGTTTTTAAGTGGATTTGAAAAAATAATATATGTAATTAAACCATTTTATGTTAGACTTCGAACAATCAATAAACATATTTCGAATATATGCTTATGATTATGAATCATAAAATTTGCGATATAATTCTCTGAAGCATTTACTAGTAACCTTAGTATCTGAACGATGTGATAAATAAAATGCCTAACGTCTGTTTCAAGTCATGGTGTAGTCATATTTCAGATTTCTTCAGACAGATAACATTGCTATCAAAAGAATATGGATTTCAGTTATATTTCACACGAGAATTGTGTTATTTTATAATACTTCAATAATAAGTTGACGTCATTTCCGACGAAACTGTCTTTAAAATTTTCATCTTTGTTATTATTATTATTTTAATTTGTTTTCAAGTTGAATTTTTTTGCTTTCGTTTTTATTTTCTAACTTTGTATAGCCACCACCAATTTCGTGTTGAAATTTGCGCTGTATGTACGTTTAAGTGCCGAAAATACGATTACTAGTCAAACTTGTTTGAAACCTGCATATATCTTGTAAAACTGCCTTTGATATTATATTTGCGTAGGTTTCGAATAAGTTGTTTGTTGTACCGAGTGTACAACTAATTATGTATTGACTGATTTTTTATATTGTGGCATGAATGATTGAGAAAAGCATGAAAAAAATTGCCATTATATGGTTTTGCTTCCGTGTTATGAAGTAGTCTGTTTTTAAAGTATTGTATTGTATTTAAGATTAGTAAAATAATAAAAGCAGCATGGGCGATTTTGTCAAAATAGTGGAGATTATAATAGAATAATTAAATGGTGAAGTATTAGACCGACCTGTTTTTACGTCATAAATTACAGTATCTAATAACAAGTCTGCATCATGCTGCAAGTATATAAATAAATGTAAAAATAGAATAACTCATCTTACAACTTTTTTATTTTGCTGTCTTTGTTAGGCGATATGTACAGTTCTGTGCAACATATTTTTAATTGTATGGTTTGTGCGTAATTATTTTTTAATAAAAAGACAATCTTCTGTGTTCTGGAAGTTTTTCTTTATGTCAACTAATAAAAAATGTATGTCTTAGTTATCCTACTTATGGAAAGGAAGATTGGTGAGTTTTAAGTGTGTAAAATGTTTGTACTGGACTGTACTAGAATTTATATAGAGAAAATTTTGCATGAGGAATTTTGTCAAATGTTTAGGTACACTGCAAATTGACACTATAGGACCATTTCTTAAAATCAACGTATAATAAGAAAAATCTAACTAATTAACAACCACATTTGTTTTGTTTTTTCTTATTATACGAACAATGTAATAATGGTCTTGTAAATAAAAGTAGTACAATACAAAATCAAAATCGTGATAACACACTTGGTACGCATGCGTGTACGTATAAATGTATGTCTAAATGTGATGTTTTTGGATTTTTCGCTTCAATTTTAGGCAATCCAATTTACATTATACGAACGCCCAGACGAATCCAACACCGAATTATATGATATCAGGAGAACAGCCTAACCTTAACCAAATTAACTACCACCAAGAAGAACCGGATGACTCACAACCGCCACCTATGATACCCATAAGACAGTTTTTGGCCAACGGCGGCGTTCTTTCGCCGACCTTCTTACGGCATCAGCATCAGAGGATGCACATGGACGTTGTCAACCAAAACTCAGCACGGTTAGTGCATATATATTTTTGCGAGGTTTAGTTGGTTAACGAGTATTAACCAACTTTGCCTTGTATGTAAACATCTACAGTGTATATCTACTACATTTTAGAAAAGTAGTGCTAGTTTTTTTTTTTTTTTTGCAAAAAGTGTGATATTAATGTAGTAAGACGCGATTTTTTTCATGTTTTCCAAAGTGCTCTGGAATGCCCATAATGGCCTACGATTTTTTATTACTTTAGGTAATAATGAGACGTAAAGTGTTCGGCCCGCTGCTCAAAATTTGACATCTTAGTAATCTGCGCAAACGAACGTGCGTGGTAGACTACTTGTATCCGTCGAATTAAAATTAGTTGTTCGTTTCAGGGATTTACAAAACAACTATAACGTAGGCAATCGACAGTCACTATTGATAAACCAGCAGCCCGCCCATCAGCAGTCGTCGAGGAGTCAACCTAGTACCTTCGCCGAAGAACAACATTCGATGTCAAATGGTCAGATGTGTCTAGAGGACGTTAATTGTAAATTAATTGCAATCCCAGAACCGCCAACTAGTAGTAACCACATTCCATATAAAATGCAAAAGGCACTAGTTGAAGGGAAATTATTACCGTGTATAAATATGAAGCCATATGTATACGCAGAATTATTGGTTACATTACCTGATCTCATAATGAACTTTTTTAATAATATACCAGTGCAGTCATGTCAAAGAGTCATGAAAGTACTAGGAATCGATCTGTACAAACCCAACAAGTAAGTTTAGCTACATTTAGCACAAGTTGTAGTTTGTATAAGAAATAGTAGCATTTCTTGAAGGACCAGTGACTTTTCTTTTTATTTATTTATTTTTTTTTGAGATTGATAAATATATGTTCAGATAAACAATGTCATTTAATTTTGTTGGCATACATGTCTACCACCAAAAACGAAAAAATCAAAAAAGATAACTGTAAACATTTCTTTATTTATTATTTTAATCAGAAGTCAGAGAGCGCTGTATTTAAATGTAGTTTTCTACAAAAAACAACATAGAGTTCATTATACAAAGTAAACTAAGTAGATAATGACCTTTAATGACACGTGTGCAAAAAATTTTGGAAGTAAATATGTAATTTGTGCGCGTTCGTCTTTCTTCGTATTTTCGTTAAAATTTCTGATCGTCTCGTGCAACAGATCGATGCATCTACGAATTTTCTTTATACAAAATGAGGTCAGTAGAGAAATCATTATTCATTAGTGTCAAATTTTTAACAATTGTTGACGTTTCTGGTTTAAAAATACATTAAAAGTCACCATTTAAACAATGTTTTTGATCAAGTGATTTGTAATTTCTGAATAGATCTCAGTAGAGACAGATTGCAAATTTTGATACAGCTTTTGTACATAATAGTTTAAAAATATATCAAAGCTTGTGTTAGTTCATATAATCCCGGCTCAAGTAACACACACATTATTAACGATTCAACTATCGTCTGTCTATAAGGACGATCGGCTTTGATCACTTTTTGTGTGTCACGTCTGTATTGATAAAAATCGATTACTAAGCTTTCCTGTAATAGTTTTAAAGTATTGTACATAAGCAAAATAGACATTTTTGATAATCTAGTTAAGTTCAAACACATGAAAATTTTGAATTAATAAAAATGTTTTTGTATATAGTACTGAGTAATTTTGTTTTTAAGTTAAATTTGGTGTTATTGTGTTGTTTGTATTGTCTAGTATAGCATTTTAACGATATTGTGATAATATATTTTTACTATGTTCTTACGTGAGCACTTTTTTTTTGTGGTACAAAAGCAACAAGCTTATGTTTAGACTCTAATTTGACGTATAATTAATGCCTGGTGTGGGTGGAGGGTCGAATATCATGGCTAAAAGTGTAGTAATATTGTTTAATTGTTTCCAGTGCCCAAACCCGTGTGCTGATGGAGTCTGGAAAGTGTCAAAATATGAATGAAGTCGTACCTTTAGTTCAAGTGAGAAATGTGATTGATTTCATGCCTCAATTGAAATACATGTTAGGAGGTGTTTTACCACCAAACATGTCTAATAAACGACAACGGAACAGCTAGGACTGGGCGAATTTGTGGGGGTATAACTTTTACAATTTGTGAAAGTCCACGAACTAAAGTGTTTTATAAAAGTAAAAAAATGTGTTGTTTTATATAAAAAATTGTTCCTAAAGTGTAAATCAATAAGTACTATTATTCAAAAAAGTGAAATTATAATACACATGTACTATCGCGCTAGTTCTATAAATATTATTTTTTTTACGATTTCATTTGACAAAATATTACGTGCGATAAGAGCGTCGATTTATGCCACTTTTTAATATTATGTTTCTTTTTATTTTTGCCGAATGTTACCGTTGCGGATCGTTTGGAATGTTTTCGTCGTTTTTTTGGCGCAATTTATGTGTTGAGTTTAATTTTTGTTTCGATTTGGTACAATCGACGTTTTCTAGTTGCATGTTGAACGTTTTCATCCTGTTGACATTAGACTAGATATTTTAAATTGTTGGCCACTTTATGGCTATTTCAAAATGGTTTTTTATTTTCTATGTAGTTGTGTTTGGCAATGTACCATTGCGGATTATTACAAATTTGACGCCTTTCTAGTCAATTAAATTAAGCGCAGCATTCGAAATATTCATTCAAAGTGGTAATTATTTGAAATATCTTCTCTATTTTTCGTATATAATTATTTATTTCTTCAATGATCATTATAATATTAATAGATAGTTATATCAATGTGAAATGTCCAGGGTAGGGGATGTAATTTAGATAAAATATTCTGGATTTAGCTAATGACAGTGTATCATTTTTTTTAAGATCTGAAATCATCATTGTGTACTTTTAAGTCTTTTCATTTCTTTCACATATATGTAAAAGTCTTACGTTGAAAACAATTTGTATTGATTTTCCTTGGAAACACATTTATTCCCTTGCCTGTGATATTTGAACAGTTACAAATCAGTATTTAATAAATTATCCATTGAGCTTAAACTACATATTTAAATTCCTTATTGCTACTTAACATCATGTTTTGGCTCTCTGACAAAATTAAACTTGTATCTGTACAAAATGTTGTAGAGTTACTTTTCTATGTAATTTTTTTAGCAACTGTTTTCTAGTAGTGTTATATTTTGGCAATTTTTTTCACACGAGTATAGTTGTAATGTTGCTATGTATGTAAATAGTAAACATTTATTCAAATAAATCCTCTAAGTTCTATTATTATTTGCTGGTTTGACTTTAAACTAAATATTTAGATTGCATTGCCAAATTCAGTTGTTTTTAAATTCAAAATTTTATTTCCGATTTTAGAAAAAACGAAAGTATGTAATTTGTATTATAATTTTGTAGAGTAGGTTCAGTAGCATTTTTTAAATATAAACTTTTATTTGTTATTAGATTACCATGTAAATAAAAATTATTTTCGTAACTACATTTTTTCTCTAAAGTGCAGTACTCTTTACAGTTACATACTTCAAATTTTATTTGAACGTCAGTGTTAACATATAGTGTGAATAGAAAAGTCGTTGGTAAATGTTAGCTTGTATCACTTTATAGGCAAACATGAATTGTGAATTTATTCCTTCTTCCTTCTCAGTAGTCCCAGTTTTAAAAATTTTAGACCGTCCGTGAGAAATTGTCGGTTTACGTTCATTACGTTTAGTTCTTTTTTAAGAATTCATTATTTATTTATCATTTATGTCATGTTCAAATGTTTCTTTTGTTTATTGTTCATTTGAGTCTTTAGAATATAGTTTTTGTTCTATACGTTTTGCTGTTTTTTTCTGTTTTCAATAAACAAACTGCACCTCGGAGCAAAAGCATGTATGTGTTGTATTCGCTGTGTAGATAAGTCAACTTTTCAAAAAAATATTTACTAGAAACATGAAAATGTTTTGCGGAAGATGACTCTAATAAATTTATGATGGACACCGATTTTTCGAAGAATTACAGAAATAAATTTCGTGGTATGCATGTTAAACGACAGATGGCGCACCCATGTATTTATTCTCCTCTCAATCAACTAAAAGTTAAAAAATTCTATGATAGTTAAGCTTTCGATAATTAAAGTACGAGGGACCTAGATGTATTCTAAAAATATCCATTTTGATATCGATTTTTTTGAAAAATGTAGATTTCTTTACTTGTCAATGTATCTTCTGAAGATGCGTCTTGTAATACAATACAAGAATAAATTTTTTACTAAACGGTGATTATAAAATCCCAGGCACACGTAGTTTTTATTTCATTTGTATTAGTCCCGCCCACCTTTTGGTCGTCACCAATCATATTCCAGCCCGACATCGGTATGACGAGTGAAATTTGGATGGTATGGCGAATGTTTGAATTCTACCTCCATGAGTATTTTTAATAATCAAAGTTATATTGCCAAAAAGACACAGCGTACATTTAGTCAGCGACTATATAAAGTAGTCAATATCGTGTTTACAAAATTTGAAGTAAACTGTGTAAAAAAAGTTAGCATTTAAAACAAACCTAAAATGTCTACTCTATTATGCTACAAATTGCATATATGTACTACATAATTTCGGATTTTAAAAATTCTCGTTCGTAAATTTCGAAAGAAATGATTAAAACTAGTTATGATAAAATAAAATTTTTACATTGTTATTAAACTAAATTTTTTGTCTGTCGTTGACGTTTGTTCATTTTTTTATAAAGGGCCTTTACCCTGTTGTACAACACTGTAAATAAAAAAAAAATAGTTTATAATAAATTTCGTCCATCGTACATCTGCGAAAAAAGTCACAATAAACACAATTTTTTTATAATGTTTAGTAATCAAAGCAATAGAAGTCATAATAAAAATAATAATATAATTAATCAATTATTGTTTTGCACAGATAAGTGAAAATCTAACTGATAAGTGATAAGAAGGGTCAGTCAAAAAAAGTAACAATATAAGTTCATAAGTCGTCCTATAGGTGGCGGTGGATGATCACGCTACAAGATCTAGCTGTCTTTGGATGAGAGAGACAGACCAGAGGCATAGTTGTCATATCTACCGATTTTGGAAAACATTTACCTAACTAGAGGCAGATAGAAACGAAAGCCATTGTTGACACAGTAAATACCAAAATTTTTTAGGTTACGATGTTTGGAGTTGTATTTAAAAATGAGTAGCGGTAGAGGGTGAGGTTTCCATGGTAACGGTGTAAACAAACCGTCTAAATTAGTCACGCTTGGGTCTCGGTCTCCGCTTACAACATTTATAGATGCAAGTTTTGATACAGTTGGAGCAAAAGAAATTAGTTTTGACAGTTATGACAAACTTCCGGATAATTTTTTAAATATTGAAAATTACTATTTTGTGTTTGTAGACAGTTAGCACAAGAAACACAAAAGAAGTTCATTGATTTTTAAATGAAAACAAAACCAAGAAATAAATAATTAAGTAAAATCTATACAAAAGTATGTATCGGAAACAACAATTGTTATGACGTTTCTATTGACAAGAAACTCGTTTAAAGTAAATTTTGACTACTTGTACAAAGACCGTTCGGAAAATGTAGAGGAACTTCTTTAAAACTTCTCCATTCATCAGATATTAAGCTTTGCCTTTTTATATATCTAATATTATTTATTTGCTTTTATTTTTTTTTATACTATTATTGTCTTATATTATTGTTTTTTTAAGTTTGTGTACTTTTTAAGCGCTTTGTATTTAATGTAGATAGTATTTATTTTTTGTTACTTTAGTGACTAAAAAATGTTAATATATTTTTTTTTGTAATTTAATTTATTTAAATGAAAGAGAAAATAAAGGCTTTTTTAAATTCTACCGAATTTTTGAATTTCTACATCATCGAAGAGTGACGCGTTAATCTACCGAAATTCCACTCGAAGCATCTGGCAACACTGGAGAGATGTGATTTTTGTTGATTGGTATTTTTTTTATTACAGGACCTTAGATGCGCTAAAAGAAGGTCGTAATCTTAGTGTGCGCAAGTGCGCATTTGGATTTTTGGACTGTGGACATCTGCGCTTTTGATTTGCGTATTGTGGAAAAGTTGACAGTATAATTTTACAGTTATTTTAGCACTCATTTCAGACTGTGGCGTACTAGATTTTATTTTATATACACTCACTTGGTTTATACAATATTTTTCAGATTATTGTCTTTACAAATCAGTTGACTTGAATTTGGAAGAATTTAATAGTACTTGAACACAGCTTCTGTAAAGTTTCATAAATATTGCACGAGCCTTAATAGGGTCAAGAGATAACCTTGAGTTACTCCACCTAGTTTAGAAATATTCTATTATCTGTGCGATGACGCTAATAGAGTATTCAGTTTCTTCAGTATTTATCCACTTCTCTATTATTAATTAAGTAATTGCTTATGCGCCACTTCCAACTTACCCTCATTTACTTTGACAAGATGGCGTTCATAAATATGGATATTAATTATCCCTTACAAAAAATGTTTGGTCTAAATTATGTTTTTAAAACAATAATAAACTATAATTCAAGTGTTACTACTGCAGATGTTAAAATCGCAACTGAATCGAGTAAATAGTGGAGGGAGAGGAAGAGAGGAGTTTCAAGATTTAGGTATAACTTGGTCACCTTGTAGAAAAAAAAAATTAAAATGGCGAGCAGTCACGTGGCATTTGGTTTGACAGTTGTCACCCTTTTAATTCACAAATTATTTAAAATCGCAAATTTTGGTTCGTTATTTTAAAATAATCAACTTTGTGTGTAAATGGCGCTGCCCAAATTATAAAAATACCAGGGTTACAATGGTTTCGTGCACACAAAGTAAATTTAATTTTAGCGCTAGATTATCCTGATACGCATGGGTGCTATTAGCATTTTAATTCTTCAAAGTTTATGTCACATTCATCATCCACGTTATTATCAGATCACACGACAAAGTAGGTGTTTTTAGACAAGTGAAAGGTCTATTCTTTGTTGTGATAATGATGTTGTTTGCAACAACAAAAGGGTTATTTCTGTTTGTGCTAGAAAAATGTTTCTAAAGGGTCACCTATAATGAGCAAAATGATTATTAGTTAATTTTATAGGTTAATGAAGATCTGGCTTCAATGGACCCGAAAGAGTGTTTTTTGATTTCAAACTTGAGTATTGAAGTGCTTGGTGAAATTGGGTTGCTAAGCGACGAAAACGACGATTTACTTATTGTAGCTTAACCACCCACCCGTTACGATTGTTTTTGTAAATTAATGTAGAATGACATGAAAGATCATAGAATAAATCATTAAAACTAGCATGCCAACGGTGGCGAGGAAATTGCAGTGATGGTGGATTTTTGAGTTTTGATATGACGTAATCGAAGCCTAACGTGATTTTTTTGCAAACTGGGTACTATTGAACGTATACTTAAGGAAAGTAGAAAATCAGCTTCAGTAGTAGTTCTAATTAGTCATTTTTTTGACATGTGTTTTTCTTCACGACCAACATTTGTGAACCTTATTTCTGTCCCTCACTGCCTGAAATATGATGACCTAGAGCCCCTTTCAGTTAACTTTCGTCACTCTGGCGACAATCCCACTTCTAATAACGCTATTCTCCGAGAATTTATCGATTCTGCCTCATCAAATATCCTTTGTGTTCACACTTAACGAGTTCAAATCCTCTTAAGGAACTACTTGTGTAGTGCCAATCAACGGTTTTCGTTTTTACCGCAGAAACGTGGCTGGCTCTAAATGGTTACCATAACTAAATCTTTTCATATTTTTCTTACAGAATCTTGCTCTATTTACTACTGAGAGCTTACAAACTCTTGACTGACTTCATATTCAAGAGTATCAGGTGTGATTTCAAAGTTTGGAAGTCCTGATACCTCCCTTCCTTGAATGACATGGAATACGTAGCCTGTTGAGACTTAGTATCCCTACCTTCTCTTTTCACAAACGGGATTCTTGACCTGAGGTGACCAGAGACCTCGGTTCCCAAATCAAGGTCTGCAAAATCTGGGACCACTAACCAGGGTTTGAGGGCTGCCTCATTTTCCTACAAACATCCGTAGCCGTGGAGTACTTTTTCAAGGTCGGAAGACAGATATGGATATTTCACGACTGGTTCTCGGGTCATGGATTGTCAATAGTGTCAACTTCACCTAGGTAGCACATAGTGATGCATCTGGAAGGTTAGACCGGAGCTCGGCATCACTATGTGTCCAGTGAATAGTCCTACTATAATTCTGAAATTGTCAATTTAGCCTTGAATGACCCTGAGAAAGAAAAGTGTGTCTGTCTCTACCCTGAGTTGGCTCTTTCCGTCTTCAGGGTTCAGTTTTTCCTATTCTAAACCAAAGAAGTACAAATTTACTAAAGTCAGACTAAACAGGTACCTAATAGCGAAATACTAAATTAAGGTTATAGTAGGAATTCGCCGACCGGGGTAGGTACGACTGAAGTGTGTATTATATATTTATTGCCGCTTTCGTAATATTCTGGACCGTTTCATTACATTGTCTCCCGAATTATTCATTAACTAGGACTTTAAATACGAGATTTAAACATTTTATGAGGGTTTAAAAAAATTATGGCTGCCCTTGAAAGAGCTGGTTTGCTATTGATTTCCCAGCATACTGCGACGATATTTCTGCAAATATGCAAAAACAGGATGCTGTTTAGACGTTCTTCAAAGCAAGTTTAAAGGGACTGTTTTTAGGAGAAAGTGTATTTAGCAGAAAATTAAGGAATTATTAAATCCTCTTTGAAAAAATTAATTATGTACGTCACAAATGGATGGAGAAAAAACCAACAAACAAGAGCTTCTTGTAGGTTCTAATTCCGTTTTATTACCATCAGTCGGAGTAATGAAAGAATTTGTTCAGAGATTATATGAGAACGGAAACTGTTTTAAATATTTACTCATTTCGCTTTCATAAAGGTAAGCGGGCGTTTTTGTTGGATTTCGTTTCAGAAACTTATATTGGAGCAGAATTTGAACTGTAAAAAGGTTGTTAATTTGATGACGTCATCTGAAAATTATATGTAGTAGTAGTAGATTCCTGTATCTGTGATTTATGAATCCGGCTTGAGTTTTTCCTGGGCGTCCAGATTTTCGCAAAGAAATCCAAATTGACAGACAAGACTAGACTGGTATTATTTATAATTATTAACTTATAGGATTTATTTAAAAAAAAAAAAATAAATTTAGAAGAAAATATACATATATTAATTTTTCGAACAAGCCGGTTATAAAATGTTATAAATTTGGTATCGATTTCCCCAACTTTCCAAGCCATTAATATATATAAGAAAAATTACTGGGTCCACAGTGGAACTTTGAGCCACGCTTTTGTTGGACGACAGAAAATTACATTTGAAATTCATTACTGTTAGAGCTTTTAATTGTTAAATTAATTAGATGACTTATTGCAATAAATCTTGATAGTTTGCTCCTAAAATCGTTGATACATTTTATTCTCTTTGAAATATTTCATTATTTGTTTACTTCCCGATCGTAAGTAAAGGAAGTATTGTAATCGAGTCTGTCGGCCGACTCTCTGCTTTTACGTTTTCTCGACCTTTCATGGCCCTTAGAGTACGAAGAAATAGGTATCCCGTTTCCGTCTGTTTGTCGGCCTGTCAGTCCGTCTGTTTGTCCGTCTATCTGTCCGTCTGTCTGCCGTCCCGGATTCTTATTAGACAGATTATCTCCTAAAGTACTAGGCCGATTGTTGTCAAATTTTGTATTTATATTAGGTATATCATGTCGATGGTAAAACGCTAACCAAAATTTGCCTAATCATCCCCACCAATAATGTGATGACGTCACTTCAAAATTCCACATAGTAAATGGGTTTTAAATTGTATGAAATAACATAGTCCGACACATGTAGTTTGCGAATCCGTATTGAGTTTTTACCCGAAATTTCCAAATTTTTGGAAAAAAAATCAAAATTATAAAACAACATTTTGCAATTTAATTTTGAATGTGCAAAACCGAATGCTTTGAAATCTTGGAGATGCTTTACTGTTATGATAAGCATAATATATTTTTTATCAAAATATATTTACTTGTCCCCTCCAAAAAATTGATGACGTTACCCCAAAATTTTGCTATCTAAAATGTACAAAATATGATAAGTCTGTACTTGTGCTTTATCATTCTATTCATATTTTTTGGATGATAATGAATGCGTGAATTTATTTAATTGATTTAATCAGGAACTACCAAATCGAATGTTTTGAAATCTTGGAGATGTTTTACAGTTTTCATATGCATGGTAAATTTTTCATCAAAATGTATTTGTTCATCCCCCCTAAAAAATTGATGACGTCACCCCAAACTTTTGCTGAATAAATCCTGTCTAAAATGTACAAAATATGATGAGTCTGTACTTGTCACATTAATTTTTTTCGATTAGCGTATACAGGGTGACTCAAACATGTTTAATGATTAAATTGAAATTGTGCTGTCAAAAATGACAAATCGAAACGATAAGTCAAAACATTTTACGATGTATGTAAACTTTTCAATCAAAATAATGTTTTCTTTTTAAAGCACAAATTAACAATTTATTTAAATTTTATAAAATTGCTTACTTCAACGCCTCTAGACATGTGGATTTTTGAAAAAAAAAAAAAATTGTATAACACTTTACTAATTGACATTGCGACACCCAATGCTCCGAAATCTTGCAAACATTTTAAGGTTATCTTAAGTATGGTACATTGTTAGTCAATATTTATCTGTTTATTTCCCCAAAAATTTGATAACGTCGTTTCAAAATATTTCCAAATAAATTTTATCCGAAATGTGTAAAAAATTATGAATCCACATCAGTGCATTCATATTCTTTAGAAATGCGTACGCAGGGTAAATTAATGAATGAAGCAATATATTTTATTGATCAAATCACGAACGCCTCACCCCATTTTCCTGAAAATTTCGACATACGTTACTGTTATTATTACTATTACACTCTATCTATTCAAATTTTATATGTGATGACGTCATCAACTAAAAAATAAATTACGTCATAACAAAATTTCTGCTTTGTTTTAAGTTATAGGGGATCTCACAAAAATGGAACGTAAATTAAGGTAGTATTGTAATCGAGTCTATCGGGCGACTGGCTACTTTCAAGTTTTCTCGATGTTTCGTGACTTCTAGAGTACAAAATAATAAACAGGTCGCCCGTTTCGGTCTGTTTGTCGTCTGTGTCGATTTTTATTAGGCATTAGGAATATCCTAACCAAAATTTGCCTAAAAAAATCGCAAAATTGATTGCAAAATTTTTCGGAAAAGCTGGGTGTGTTGTAGTACCTAAGGGGCGAGGCAAGTTCTGTCGAAACAACCTGGGACCAGTTTTATTCGTTGATCTTGAGAGATTCGTGGAATGTATTGTTTGGATATTACCAGATTTTTCACACTTATTAACATTTTTGAGTTTATGCCATAACAATCAACAGTTGGCTTATTTTGAGTTGATTATTACCTTAATTACATCGTTAAAACTTATTTCACGAACTTGAAAATTCGTAAAATTTGTATTACATTTTTTTACTATTGTTTTTCATATAGCGTTTATTTATTTTTTTTTTTTTGTAACGTCTGGATTTTAATGTCATGTCACATTCCTCGTTGGTAATAACAATAATAATAGTACGTGCGCACATCTGTTGAAGCTGGAAACACTTATAAGCTAGTAAAGCGAAGTTAAAAGGTGTTAACTCCGCTAAAAATAGTAATCGAAGGATGCTTAGCGCGTATTGTAATTTTGAATGGTAATTTTAATGTACGGAGAGAGACACGAGGCAATCATTTTAGCTAAAAAAATATTTCGAAGATTAAAATAATCAAATTGTCTCTGGTCGGGTCGTTCCGAAGGGACACCGGTGGTCCGGAATAAAATATTATAAAAAGCGGCGGCGAAAGGTTAGATATCAAGGTTCGCATTTAATTCGCAAAGGGTTTTAAATAAGCTCATAATTCCTAATTAGTATCATAATTAAAAAAAGGCCACCCCTGACCTACAGCCGGCGCGTAGCGATCTATTCATCGGTAGGGTCATCGGCGAGCATAGGCGAATCCTCATTCGGGCATCGGCCGAAAATGAGTCACCGATAGTTTGAATAAAAGATAAAATCTGTCAAAGACACGTGTTGTGTAAGGGTTGTTAATTTGCATTTACCCTAAATCGAAAGCAGCTGACTGCGCGAGCAGTTGCGCATCAAGTCGCGCTTTTACGACAGTACAGACCACACCGTGGAAATGGACAGAGTGCTAAAACGTGTGGGTCTTTCGAAAAGGACTCAAACCGAGACAAAAGGGCCCGATCAGGGCCCCACCGAAGAAAAGACGAAAGTCCGTCGGCGCCGCAGGAGCAAGTCCAGGCGGAGGTCCAGTCAGGAGAACAAAAAATCGCGCGGTTTATTTAATATTGATTGGGAATCCGTAAAAGACTGTAAGTCCTGCAAGTCCAGGGCCATCACCAGGAGGTTCTGCAGCAAAAGGTGCGACAACGAGCTGTACCGGTCGAACAGCTTCAAGTTCGAGAGGTTCATCAGGGGCAGCGAGGAGGCCTCCACTTTGGGCAAAAAGGTGAGTCGCACCCCTAGCATAACAGGTGGATTTTGGGGTAGGCCGAGCCCGAAAGGCCTTCTCGTTGTTTTCGGCGCCCCGCGACTTCTGCTGCTTATCTCGTTCCAAAATTAAACATCGATAACCTGTTGACCTGGAGCTGCTTTACTTTTCGCCTGAATTTACAACAGTTCCACGAATTTTGACCTTTCTTACTGTTTACAGGCTATTTCTAAAACACTGTAATTGAGGCTAGTTCTCTTTTGTCTAACGTTTTAACCTTTGCCTCCGACGTAAGTTCTTGATATTAATAAACTTATTTGTTATGATTTTTGTTTTCGTTTCAATAATCGCGTATTATTCATCACGATTGTTTATTATTTTTGTTGTGTTATGATTACAATGACAACGAGTGAGTCAAACATGTTTATATGCATTGCCACTGTCATGAGCTGGATCTTACGGATTTTAATAGAATCCGAATACTACCGACAATTTTACTATCAGGTAGTTGTAGCGTAGTAGTCTGATAGCGATAACACGAAAATTTTCCTCGTTCCGGGAAACTTTTACTTCTTTTACTTTGTTCCATTCATTTAAAACTTTTCCGGTAACTGCTGTATAAGATACACATGTTATTTTTGTGCCATAATATAAGCAAAAATCTTAAAACAAATAAAAGTATTTTTGACATGTATGTTTGCTTTTTGTAGTTGTTACTTCTGACCAAACGGAAACAGGATATTATTTATTTGAACCCTAAAATACTTGAAAATTAAATTAGTCTTGATTCGTCCACTCATTAGAACTTTATTAAAACGTTTTATTAGTTAAATTGCTTTGATAATGGTACTTATTTATTAAATATTAAAATGTATGTAAATTATTTCCATCGTAAAACTTTAAACTAAGCTGAACTGCTGTCTAAGAAATTATATTCCTAGCTGGCGGCAAACTTCTCCTAAAACATCAGATTTATACCAAATTATGGCATAAATAATGCAAGCTAAGATTTAAAGGGTTCGCACATTAACATATTGCTTGCGAAGATTCTTCATACTCATACAAAAAATTCGTATGTGGACTTCCCACTGAATTTTCATTACTAAAACTTTGTGATGACGTCATCAACATTTTAGTAGGGACAAATATATCAATTTGAATAGGTAAACTACAGTCCGCCTAATAGTGAACATTAAATTTCCATTTCCAAAAGCCCCCAATAATTGCTTTTAACAAAAATAATGTAACACGCATGTGTTATATTATTTTCCTAGAGAATATAATATTTCCCAAAATCAGTCTTATCTTGGCAAATACCAGACCCGCCCACCCGCCCTTTTTTTTTAGAAGCTATGTAATTTTGAAAAAGCAGTCTTATTCTGGCAAGTACTAGCCCCACCCACCCACCCTCTCTTTTCTTACAGGATATGTTATTTGCCAAAATCAGTCGTATCTTGGCAAGTACTAGGCCCGCCCACCACCCCTTTATTTTCATAGAGATCATGTAATTTGGCAAAATCAGTCTTATTTTGGCAAATACTAGCCCCGCCCACCCGACCTTTTTTTAGAAGGTATGTAATTTGCCAAAATCAGTCGTATCTTGGTAAGTAGAAGTAGGAATGCCCACCAGCCCTTTATTTTCATAGAGGTTATGTAATTTGGCAAAATTAGTCTTATATTGGCAAATACTAGCCCCGCCCACCCGCCCTTTATTTAGAAGGTATGTTATTTAGCAAAATCAGTCTTATCTTAGCAAGTCCTAGCGCTGCCCACCCGCCCTTTATTTTCCTAGGGGGTACGTCATTTAACAAAATCAATTTATTTTGGCAAGTATTAGCCCCATCCACTGGCCCTTTTTTTTCCTAGAGAGTAGATCATTTCCCAAAATCAGTCTTATCTTGGCAAATACTCGCCCCGCCCACCCGCCCTTTATTTTTTTAGATGGTACGTCATCTGCCAAAATCAGTCTTTTCTTGGCAAGTACTAGCCCCGCCCACCCGCCCTGTTCTCATTCTAACGATTTTATTTCTTTTCAGTATAAGATCCATCTTATAGTATATAGACTAGTATTTGCCAAGATAAGACTGATTTTGGGAAATGATCTACTCTCTAGGAAATTGTCATTTGTACTATTTTAACCAGTTCTAAGTTCCTTGTTGTGAAAAAATGGCTATGTATATTAAGAAAAAAAAAAAAGGTAAAAGATAAGCCCCGCCCATCCGCCCTATCTCAACTCTGATGATTTTTTTGTTGGTCGTGAGCCGAGGGTCGGGGCTTAATTAAATCCTTATTTTTCTACGAGACATTACCATATTCTTAAGTAATTGTGTTATACAAAGAAAACTAAATGTTTTAATTCAAAAAGAAAACCAAAAGAGAAGCCCCACCCATCCGTCTCGATCTCAATCGTGATGAATTTTTCATTCGTTGTCAGACCGCGGGGCGGAGCGTAATAGCAAAACGATATTTTCCTATATAAATTTACTATTTTAAACATGTTTTAACTTGTGGAAAGATGATTACACATTTTAAAAAAACAAGGCAAAATGTAGCCCCGCCCACCCGCCCCATCTCAATTTTGATGATTTTTTTTATTCGTTATGAGCCCAGGGGGCGGAGCTTAACTGCAAAATCCTTACTGCCCTACGACAAACTAAAAACATGTCTTTGAGTATCGTGTTCCCAATTTCAATTCTTAATTGTGATGAATTTTTCATTCGTTGTCAGACCGCGAGGCGGGGCTTAATTGCAAGATCCACATTTATCTACAAGAATTTATCATTTTAACCATGTTTTAAGTTTCTTGTTCTGAAAAGACGACTACGTATATCAAGTTACTACTTTTAATATTGTTCGGTCTTATCATCGCAAGTACTAGCCCCGCCCACCCGCCCTCTATTTTCTTAGAGAGTATATTACTTGCCAAAATCAGTCTTAAATTAACAAGTACTAGCCCCGCCCACCCTCCCTCTTCTCATTCTAGCGACTTATTTTATTTCTGCATAAGATCCACCCTTCAATCAGAGCAGATAAAATTAATCACCGAAAAGGAGGCGGGTGGGTGGGCGGGGTTTAGGTATTTGTTCTTTTGTAGAGCGAGAGTGGGAACTAATCGAAATTAGCGCTAAATAATTTTTTTGTTGTATTATTTGTCATAAGATTTATTTCTTATTTCAGAAGGAAAAAAAATGAGAGAACGGATTGGTGGGTGGGACTAAGTTTAACTTTTTCCTAGAGTCTGCAGAAGTATCCATGTGTGTATAGTAACCTCATTTGACATACACCTGTTAAAAGTTTTATGACTTAACCAACCTTATAAGTCAAACTGGCTGTTGTATTACTTAACTCAGTTCACAGCTACATTATGCCAACAATGGACAGTAATAATCTTACGGTCCGGTCCACAAAGCCAGTTTGAGTCATAAAAGTTTTAACAGGTGTATCTCAAATGAGGTTAGTATACATAGCTATAATTTCGGAGGCTTACACGGTCAGAATCAATACATGATCGTTTTCCGGGTTGGAACCGTGTAAGTTAAATTTTTGGGCTCAACGTTTCGCACACTTTCGTAAGTGGCATCTTCAGGAGCAGGGTTATGAATAAGACAAAAGAGCACGGTAACTCAGTATGTCAACCATACCAGAGGCGAAACTCTTTCATCGGCGACAATTGTATAATTCGAGGTAGCAATTTAATTGTCAAATTTTAAAAACATTATGATTAGAAATGCTAAATATACCGAAATGTGCTAGTTATACAGAGTTTCTATAAATGATTATAGGGTCGAAGTGGGTCATGAAAACGTGCCGCCTCTCAGATTTGAACTCAACACGGATTCATAAACCACAAGTGCAGAGTATTTTATTAACAAAATGTAAATAGCATTTAATAATGTAAATTTTGGAGATTGTTAGTGAGTTTTGGTTGTCATTTTACCATATAGACGATATTCTTAATATGCATATAAAATTTGTACAACAATCGTCAAGTATTTTCGGAGATTATCTGTGTAAGAGGGCATTAGTTAATTAAAGATTTTTTATTCTAATCTTATAATTTTATGTTATATTAAATGACGTAAGTTCCGTGGAGTACTAGCCCCACCCGTCCACCATATATTTTCTTAGATAATATGTCATTTGCCAAAATCAGTCTTACCTTAGCCGGAACTAGCCCCGCCCACTCACCCTCACTTTTCTTGTAGATATCGAGTTCTAGAACTCACTTCCGGCTTCGTTTCTTTGATAACTGCAACCGTTTTTCCGGAATCGACCGTCGAAATATCCAAATTTTTAGAAATTTTCCAAAAAATTCGCATTTTGTATTTTTGGAATCAGCATGTCGATATCTACATCCCTGAATTTTTTCGTAATTTTTAGACGACTTTTTCAAAAATGAAATTTTTTCAATGGTCCCCCCCTTCTTCAAATTTCGGCCAAATTTTGACATTTTCGAAACTTAACTAAACGCATTTTTCTGTAGATTTCGGGCTCTAGAACTCACTTCCGGTCTCGTTTCTTTGATAACTGCAACCGTTTTTCCGGAATCGACCATCGAAATATCGAAATTTTTAGAAATTTTCAAAATTTCGCATTTAGTACCGATTCTATCGAAAACATGCTGTATTTTTGGAATCGGCATGTCGAGATCTACATCACTGAATTTTTTCGTAATTTTTAGACGACTTTTTTAAAAGTGAAATTTTTTCTTTTTCAAATTTCGGCCAAATTTTGACATTTTCGAAACTTAACTAAACACATTTTCCTGTAGATTTCGGGCTCAAGAACTCACTTCCGGTCTCGTTTCTTTGATAACTGCAACCGTTTTTCCGGAATCGACCGTCGAAATATCGAAATTTTTAGAAATCTACAAAATTTTGCATTTCGTACCGATTCTTTCGAAAATGTTGCTCGTTGACCATCAACATGCTGTATTTTTGGAATCAGCATGTCGAGATCTACATCCCTGAGTTTTTCGTAATTTTTAGACAACTTTTTTAAAAGTGAGTGCCTTTTTG